CCATATATTACACTAAAAATGTGCAATCAAGTTTTATTTTGGTTTCCGTAGCTATAAGCATTGTTGCATTTTTCTGTGTGAACTCTTTATTGATTTCAGATGTATATGTCTCAAATATTACAAATGGGCGCATATCTTGCTCGGATAGGTACTTTTCGGTTTTAAAAATTATTCGTGATTTCCTGTACTAAAAAGTTATACCAATTATTGTTTTTTGTGGGTGAAAAAAACTCGTTGCGCCATAAGACTCAGGCGAGAACAAATATGCACTGAATTCAGAATTCACTTATGCACAGCTCATAATACCATCATTATATAACAGAAGTGCATAATATCAAATTCAAGTCACACTTTGCTCTCATGTTTTGAACTCAAAAAATTGTTGCGGATTTTAACATTGCTTGCATGATGTCATCACCTTATTCAATTTCCAGAAAAATTGTCAGTTGCGTTGTATAATTCCGTTTGCCTTTTTATTGGAGCTGGTACTTGATAGTAAAACACTTTCGTTTTAAATTGTTACTGTCTCTCGCCAACATAAAAGTTACCTCGGTCATTTGTACAAGTTTCTATTTACCTAAGGTAAAAAAATTTTATGAAATAAATATTCAAATATTTTAGTGAAGATATACAAGTGTAAAGAAGTATACGTTACTAACATTTGAAAAGCACAATGTTTTCTGCATTTAAAGATACTTTAATAGTAAAAACCTTTGAACCTTGAGAAGTTTTTCAAACCATATATTTTCCTGTCACGAAGGGCAGCCTCCTAACAATGTTTCCCTAACAAGTTGTGGCCCTCAAGGTGTTTTAGCCTATTGCACTTCAGGTCAACTTTACTTTTAGCCACCCACATATTCCAATTAAGAGTTTTACAAAGAGTCCATTTGCTTTTATTGCGAAGATGTAGTGAAAGTCTATCCCGCCTCCATGTTTCCCATATTTTACATAAGTCGGCGACCATTAAGAGACCTCTGGCTCATTAGGGCTGTTCTGCACATGGAAAAACCACCTACGTACCTACAATTCGCACAATTCCCTTCCGCACTTACCCACTCTGTCACTTTCTCCGGCAGTTTTTTGTCATTAAGCTGGCAAAACTTAATTTTCTATCCTGTGCTTCCCACCTACCAACCCTGATTATATTGTTTACGCTCGTTGAGTACTTACCTCCGGGAATTCATTGTAACTGTGTAAAACAGGGCCGGTAATTGTGTCCACCTAGTATCTTAATTAATCTACAAAAAATAATTAAAAAGGTTCTGAAAAATGATAGCATTCAGGGAGTGCAAATTTAAAGAGTGCCACATATTAAGCTGGCTTTTAATTGAAGAAACTTTTGCGCAGCTCCCTCTTAGATTTCATTTAATGCAAGCTGAAAAGTAAAATAGAGTTCATTTTAATTATAACTAGAAATACCAAGATTTTTCAATTGGTATAATTTATTATACAGTTTACTACATTGTTTGCATATGTTGCCCCCAACTGAGCTGAGTCAGTATAGACTGAAAATCATTGTGTTTTCCCAAACTCATCATAAGAGTTCAAAATATTTCGAAGGAATGGGAGAGGCAAATGTACTTTTTGCTGGCTCTGAGTCTTTAAGAGATTATGCCAGGCATAAAGAGAAAAGCTATAGACAACATGCAAAGTCACAGCGACATGTGTGCAACAGCTGCAAAAGTGCGATCAAACGGATGGGTAACGGAAATATAACTTGTACGAGGAGAGTATGACTCTTTCATCGAGTCGGTAATAAAAATACTCTTTTTTTAATAAAACAAATCGTTTGTTTTGATGACAAGATTAAAGTTCCCAAGTCTAAGCTATATCAACTTCCAGACAAACCTTGATATTTAAATATTATTTCAGCTGTCCTCGTGTTTGTTTATAATATTTTATAGCTCAATTCAATAAGTTATATAAAATTGATATTCAAGAATTCCATAAATCCATTAGCATTGTTCGCTCGTGGCAAGCTGTTTGCGTCTTTGTCGCTATTCGAAATGATTGTTATCGCAATGTCACATCTGTTCGGGGCTGATAAGTAAAACAGATACTATCATTGTTTGATGCGTGATTTCAACCAAGTTCGTGGGCAAAATGAAATGCCCGCTTGGGGTGGAATTAATTGTGGGTATTAATACTCGAATGTTCTCATGAACTTGGTCTCCATCCAAAGCCCCAACGAGAAAAGACCTAAGTAGCTTTAAGTGAAAAATGTAAGGGTAAAAGAAAACAGCAAAAAGTGCAATGCAATGTAATTACCAGGCGAATGCAGATGAAAAAAAGAATTGCTAAGTGCAGATCCACTGTGCTTACTGGAAGAAATTTGAAGCTTTGAGAACTCCAGGAAAAGAAAATTAAAAGTTTTGTTCCTTGTTAATTTTAACAAGAGAGAACGCTATAGTCGGGTGCTCCGACTATCAGATACCCGTTACTCAGGTAAAGGGAGTGCGAGGGAGATGGAGATAGAAACTTTGATCACGCATAACTTTTTAACGAATGGTCCGATTTGAAAAATTTCTTCTACATTTCGATAGGTATTGATAAACACAATAAAACTGCATTTTTACTTTTCCGAAATATTTAAATTTTTAAAATCGTATATAAGCGATTGTGGGCGTTAAAGGGGGCGTGGCACCTTTTTGAAACAAACTTGCGCTGCGTAGGAACTCCAAGAATCTGCATGCAAAATGCCAATCTTCTAGCTTTTATAGTTTCCGAGATCTCAGCGTTCATACGGACGGACAGACAGACGGACAGACGGACATGGCTATATCGACTCGGCTAGTGACCCTGATCAAGAATATATATACTTTATAGGGTCGGAAACGCTTCCTTCTAGCTGTTACATACTTTTGCACGAATACAATATACCCTTTTACTCTACGAGTAACGGGTATAAAAATGTATACATCCCCCACAAGCGATTAATAAGTATTTAAGAGGATTGACAAATCTCTAACACAAAACCAATATACTACGCGGTAATTCAAAAATCACAGTTTTCATCGCTTCCGCCGTGTCGTGCCCCATTTCTCCCACTCACCTCTAAATACTTTGTTTACAACGTGCCTTTTATCGAATGGCGCCAGCTGTTTGTGTTGATATTGCTGTTGTTACATACACATTATGTATATGCATTTTGAATTTGCCAACTTTTGTGCGACGGAAAATTGAGGAGCAGTCGCACCCAAGTTGAATCAAGAACTTGTATTCGCTTATTTGCATGGGCTGCATATTTTGCAAGAGATATTTGCTAATTTTCTTGCTTTCTCTGTCTGACTATCCGTGCTATATTGTTTTGCTGCTGCTGCGTCATTCTTAATAAATAGGCACCTTGTCCGCTAAATATTTTTTTCCTATTTGTGTTTGTGGATGATGCAAGGTAAAGGTCAATGTGAAGTCATAATGGTTTCATTAGTCTGATAATTTTTTTGTTTTTCCCCATTTCGGCTGTAATCATGACGAAACTAGTTTTTTAAATTTTATTTGTCCGAAAGTTGCGTTTTCGTTTGCTACGGAGACAAACTATTTGTAAAAGAACAGAAATGAGTCTTAAAAACGAATTTTTGCTGAGTTTCAATTTTCGAGCAAGCTAGTGTATCTGACATTTGACTTCAGGTTTAACAAAGTCTGATTGAAGAACAATTCAGTGATAAACTGGCGAATGTTTTCTCTTCGGCCAATTGTCAGCAAATTGCTTTTCTAATCAAATCAAACTCAATCAACGAGCATGTAAAAATTCGTACTTCCTTTACCTCTAGCCAAATCTAAAGCAAAATATCATTAAATAGAAATCAGGGCCATGATTGAGCTTATTTAATGGAAAACCAATTTCCACAATGTGGAAATGACGCTCTGACCAACTGCATCAAATTATCATTTGACTAGTAGAAATAGAAAATTCTTTTCGTTAGTTAGTGGGTCAGTGATTTCTCATGTCAGTAAGCCATTCGCTTATTCCTTAACTTCAACCAACCATCTAATCAAGGTGCAGAGTTTATTTTAAACTTTCGTTTGGCTAAGGATTGTTTTGGGGTGCGGCTTGAAAACTGTAAAAGTAAGGAAGGAAACCAAGCCAAGTCCGAACATCGCCTAAACAGTTTTTCCTAGAAATCAATTCCCTCGGTGGAGTAAGTGGGTTAAAGCTCTTTGTGTTCTGGCTGTTTTTTTGGAAGGTTTTCCTCACAATGGGAAAGGCTAATGTGTGTAATGCCCCAACAATAAAAACGTTATTATGATTAACACTGAGTAAAACAGGTTAATTACTAGGCTATTCAGCCATGTTTTAATTAACTGACAATTATTCTTACAAGGAATACCGAAAATACGCATTATTCACTGTTCGCTTATGTTAAGATAATTAATAAGGTTCACTAGATATCAGGCTATAGAAGAAAATCATATTTTCTCCCAGACTCTAAGTGACCGATTAGTCAGTTAGTCATCAATCTAAAAATGAAAAAATCGCACGACGTTAGAGACAAGATAAAACAGAACACAAATTAATTGCTTTTTGGTTTCGCGAAAATCAAAAAAGAAGCACTAAAATTGTAATCGGTGAGTAATGCGTCACTGATTTGGTATAAATCAAGAAAAGGCGTCTAAAATCTTACGGAATTGTTGAGCAAATGTTTGCACCAAGTGCCAAGTTTTCTGCTGCGGAGCGGCGCTTCTGTCATGCGATTCCCCATTGCGTGTTGCCCTTTTAATTAGTTGAGTGTTATTAACAAGTGTTTAATTATTCAATATGCATAAAAAGGAATTATGGCTTCAAGGTTATACATTCTTTATATTATCTGATTTGTGGGGGTGCTTTAGGGAACAAATCAATAACCCGTTAGGAGTTGATTTCATTTGTAGTGAGTTTCTATTCAAAACTACAATGCTTGAAATTTAAATTTATTCATTTCTACCTCACACATTCTCCCAATTAGTTTTCATATCAAACAATTTTGTGACCTTTGGTTTGCTTCTGCTTATTTTATTTTCAGTAAGGAGTATTTCCATTCCACCGGACGCAGCTTCTGCACCACAATTTCCTCCTGCACCACGACACATCGTCAACCCTGAAAATGGCAGTTAAGTAAGAAGTCCAAGAAATAAAGCTGATACAAATAGAAATAAACACAGATTAACAAATCAAACACAAAACAAGCTAGAACTATCAAAGGTAAAGTATTAGGTGGATGTTTTTTGAACCATTTATAACTTATCGATCAATTCACAGGCTAAGTGAAGGCGGTGCTGCGCAACCGCTGGTGACTTTCTCATCCATTCCGCGGCAGGAAGGCGAAATACACAGATTGTTGGACAGGAATTGATGACACTTCTTGGGCCTAGCGCCCCTGGCATGACCTTTATGATGAAAAAAAAGAAGTACAAGTTCAACGTTGAAGTGCAGCTGCAGGATTTAGTCGAGGTGGCCCTGGTTAATGAGGTGTTGTTCGCCAAGATACGACTGCTCGATGGAGGATCATTTCAGGAGTACAGTAGTCGGTAAGATTGCATTATACATTTGATATAATTGAACCATAATAACGACATTATTTTAATGTAGCGAGGAAGTGCGCAACCATCGTGTCGAGTGGAACCGAAGCTTTGAGTTTCCCTGCAAGATGAGCGCGAATGCTTCGACCGGAGTTTTGGATCCCTGCCACCTGCGCATCTCCATACGCAAAGAAATGAAGGGCGGTCGCAGTTACTATAAGTTAGGTTTTATCGACCTCAATCTTGCCGAATTCGCCGGTGCCGGCCTCACCTCGCGTCGATTTCTCCTCGAGGGCTATGACTCGAGACATCGGTTGGACAACTCCATGCTGCGAGTGAGCATCAAAATGCATATGCTGAGCGGTGATATTCTCTTCAAGGCGTAAGTAGTTGAATGAACTTCCTTTTGGAACGAAAATATAATATAATTGACTTTGCAGACCCACTCCGAACCTGAAGAGCAAACAGAGCAAGCCGTCGATGGATGATTTGACTAATGCGGCCACTGGAGTGGGCCTACAAACTCCGACGGCCAATGCTCTGCCCAGCATAGGCAGTGGCAGCGGCGGCTCCTCCATTCCCCTGGGCGGCAGTGGGGCCACCTTGGGCGGAGTTCCCAGCACTCAGTCGCTGCCGGGAACGCGGCCCGTCTCCACCACAAAGGAGGAGGGTGAGTAGTGGGTTTGGGGATTATTGCTGGTAGTTTGTAGAGCACAAGAGTAAAATGGATTCATTGACCCCCAAAAAGCAGATAAAAACACATATGTTTCATATCAGCTTCAACAGAATCACAGGAACTATGGGGGCAAAAAGTTTGTTCAAATTAATGACATACCCCGTATTGTCCTACCAATCTGTTTGGCAAAGTTCAATAGATTACGTCTTTTTTTGTGCAAGTCCTTGCTGAAACTGTGCTACTTACATAAATAAGAAAATTACGGTTCGATGATGTATTACTTGACAAACATTTTTGTTTGGACGCGTGTATTGCTTTTATTTCTTATCGTTATACTTATAATACATTAATAATATGTATGCACATACATATTGTCGTAAATTGCAATATCAATAACATATTAAGAAATTCGAATTCCCATTTCAGCAATACTTGCAGATATCGATAACCAGGCTTTGATAGCGGCCATTGTGACGGACTCCGGCTTGTCGGAGTCCTCGGAGTCGGCTGTAACGTTGACCACGGATAATCTTCAGCAACATGCCGCCGCCGCTTCCAATGCCACCAATCCGGTGACCCAGACGCTTCCGGGACTGGGAATCATTGGCAGCAACAACTACGGAACCACTGGAGTGGTAATCGGGTTTTCTGGAGGCGGCAACGCCAACCTCATGGAAATGGGTCATTCAAGAAATTCCAGTAATACTAGTCAAGTGAGTACAATAGCTCGGCATCTTACAGGGCAAATACCTAATGTTTTTTTTTGCTTCTTCCAAATTAGATGTCAAAAGGTTCGGGTTATAGCAGTTTTTCGCACAGTCAACATTCAAGGCAAAGTTCCGAGGGTGATTCGGGACATGCTAGGTGAGTCATCAAAACCGATTTAAATTACTTTTCTATTCTGTAAAAAGCCTTCTCTTATTTTCCTTTAAAATAATTTTTACATATTTTGCCCAAGATTCGTGTAAGAATTAACTAGTTTAAATAACATTTGCTATACTATAATGCTGAATTCTTTACATGCGTTATATATGCTAAAGCCGTACTTAACAACCAAATTTAAATGTGTCTAAAACTTCTATCTACACACTATAAACACACTGAACGTAATTAATACTTTACGCGTCAAGTCCGTCCTGACTTGAATAATGTAACCATTGCTCGTCTTCAAGTATACTAAAACATATTAAATATTTTATCGACACCTTAAACAAACAAAAAACTTTATCACAAAGAAAACTGTTTAGGTTAGAATTTATAAAACTCTAGTTATTATCCTTATTTTATTTTTATGATTATATTTTATTGAAAGCATTTTTGTACATCGTCGTAAACTAATTAATTTTGGTTTTTTTTTTGTTGACAGACTTTTAAATTTTATTTTAAATCCATGTAAAACTGCTAATTTTAAATGTATAACCTATTAAAATCCCCTTTGTTTATTTTTATAGTCCTTAAGTAAAATTTAAAATTAAAATTAAAAATTGTGTTTAAATTAACCAAAAATCTATAAGGTATAAAACTAGCTAACTGATTTAGTCAAAGAAACGTTGCTTCGTGAAATTTAAACTGAAGGGATATATAGTCAAGCATTTTAGGTCCACAATGCAGCTAAGCTCCGCTCTTTTCAATTATCTTATGCTAATTGGTTGTTAGAACTGCATGGATTCGCTTGGCGGATGCTGCAAAAACATTGCATAGTTTAAGGTCAAAGCATGGCATGCACAAGATCGAGGTCACACGTTGACTTGTTTAAATATCCTTGCTCTTCCCATGACCAGACTGACTGTCTGCCAGTTGGTAACTCAGCGAAATTGCATGTTGGCTGCAATTCAAAAATGAATGCTGCCAGTGATTAGAGGGGGTTTATTTCGAGGGGAGACAGTGGGACTCGATATGAGAAATTGTTGTGACTTGGTCGCTTATAAGTGAATCTGATGACTTCATCAACCGACTGGCGTCATAAGGCGTGCGCAAAGGTCTTTTGCCCTTGCCGCCTCGTCTGGGCGGTTTCGTTTTTTAAGTCAATTCTTGCTTTGACATTTGGCCTTTTGTTTTTTTGTGCAAAAGCTTTGCGTGAATGGAACTCGGGAAAGTATTTGGAGGTCACTAAAATTTCCTAAATAAGATTTAAAATATCATATATGTTTTTACTATATTGGTTGGGGCTTTAAATCTTTTATTATCCTGTGTAAAAACGTTGAATATTGATATAAAAAGTGGTTTTAGTTGGTTATAAGTATTATTTAATTATGGTTAAGGTTACTTAAGTACTAAAAAATTAACATATATGTGTTTAAATTGGTTTGTAATCTGGTCTTACGGTAGCTTTTATACTTTGTTAGTTTATTTACTATACACATTTACTGTTTACGTTAATCCAATTTATCGCTAAAACTTATAAAATTAATTTTGTTTTTCTTTCTTTTTTAAACTATATTTATGTTTTGTATATAACAAAATGGGGTATATGGCCAACTAACCAACTGCCCAAATATTTCTCCAATAACACCATTTAAATTGAAATTCAATAAACAACTGCCGGCCTTCCAAATCAAAACCAACAAACTATAGTCGTTTTAGAAAATCCGTTTCTCTACTTAATAGACTCAATCAGAGAGCAATTAATGCCATGAAATTGAATATACCGCACGGTCGACATCGCGGGCAAAAGGGTCCAGAGCAGCAGATACCCCCCAATGTGCCGGTGGTGCACAAAAGTCATCATGTCCAGACCCACCTTAGTCTCAGCACCACCATTGAGTATGTGAGCGAGGAGCAGCTTTACCAGACCCCAAACGCCACCATGAGCACCTCTGATACCTTGGGCTTCGAGGATTTCCGCACTCCGATGGCGGAACTTGCTGCCGCGCCATCGTTTCAACCGCTGGGAGCGGGCGGTGGTGCCACGCCCTGCTCCACATACCGCAGTGCCGGATCTCCGTCCCACGCCACACAGTATTACGACAGCGGAGAGGCGAGCGACACGGATGAGTATCTCAACGAGGAGTCGGGTGACTCCGGCCTGGAGGAGAACTTCCATACGCCCCGCGTGGCCAAGATCAAGTCGATGGAGAATCTCTCCATTCTGGAGATGGAGTTCCACAAGGCCTCCATGGAGCTGGACCGCAACTCGCCGCGCCGCCTCAAGCAGCTGGCCGAGCACGCTCAGATACCCAAGATGAAGTCGCTGAACAATCTCTGTTTTGATGAGTATGCGGAGGAATCGGTTCGCGAAGAGTTTCAGCGGATGCATGAACAGTCGCTGGAGGAGCGGCTGCGCTTTCAGCAGCAGCACCACCAACTCCGGAAGAACTCGACCACCTCGAATGGATCGGCGGTAAAGCTGTTCGTAAAGCATCAGAGTCACCAGAACCACCATCACATCAAGGTCGGCAATGCCAAATTTATCGGCCAGGACGGTGAAAGTCCGCAATCGCTTCACTATCCCATTCAGAAGATGCGATCCATGGGCACCATACCAGACATAGTGAGCGAGCGGATCGAGGCGGACCCGTTCCTGACCCCGACTTCCGAGCGAAAACCGAATTTCCCGCGTCTCATTCAGTCGGCGGAAAAGCCGGTGCTGGGCAGCAGCTATGTGAATCGTCTGCTCACCTACGACGTTGTGGACTCACCGGCGATGTCCTTAATGTCGCGGACGCCCTTCCAGCGGGCCTATATACGTAATATTCAACAGGGCAGCTCCTCGACGCCCCTGGCCAACCAGGAATCCTTCGTCATCCGGCCACATTCCACGAATGCTGCCTACGAGCTAATGAGGTGCGTCGCGAATTGATTATCAACAAGCCTACAAGCAATAGAAATCCCATAAAATGATTCCTATAACTAGTTTCTTGAAAGCGGAGGGTTACTCGTTACTCGTTGAAAGTTTCTCGTTACTGTTAAACTGTGTTCCTAAATGTTTAGCCTAAGTCGCCGCTTTCGCGACATACATAGTCTTAGAATTAGTCCTGGTCCTTGGTATTGGTCCACTACCCCACACAGACGTTATCGTTTCCATTTAACATTTTCACCTGTTTTTCGTTAATCGTTTGTTTTGTTTTGTTTTTGTTCAAGTTCCTACTAATCATTAATGGTTTTTATTGAGTACTTCAGACTCAAGTACTTCGTAGAGATACACGTAAGGTGGTTATTAAGGTTGTATCACGGAAAAAGAAAAACAAACAAACTGTACAGTAATTATCTTAAAAAGGTTTTGCGACAGCTTTTTTTTATTTAACTTACACAATATTAATGATCTAATCAAACCAACCATAAAATTCTAATCGAAAAAATAATAATAATGGCATCTATTTTTAAAAATAGTTATTTAATTCCAAAATATATATTTAAGTAGTAAGAAAAGGATTTAATTTTCCCTAGTTGCTAGTTAAACTGTAGCACAACTAAAATATAGGCTAGGTTAAAGTCTGTCTTGACTGTTTGTGTAAACTTGGTTATAGTTTATCATAAACCAAAAATACGTACCTCACAAAAAAAGCTGAGAAACGTTTTTTCATTATGATTTTCTTGATCTTTTGAACTTAATTGCAACTTTAATTTGATTTGTACATTTTGGTTACAACTGCAAGGGTATTACGAGATCGGTTTTCTAACGTTAATTTCACCCGCGAAATAATAATCTCACACTACCACTCACTACACACATTTACATCGATTTCTAATATAAAACGCTCTGATCATATATAAAAAGCTGAAATCATTCGCTTCTTTTAAAGAGTATAGAAAAAGTTAGACAAAAACACCAATATTTGGTGGCTTTTTATTTATTTTTGGTTTTACAAAATATTTTGTTTCCAAATACATGGTTTGAAAGTTATTGTTTATTATACCAGTGTCTATATAATATTGTGTTGTTCTGTGTCTAAAACGAATATTCGCATTTAACGTCGCGTTCATTCAGAAGCTTCAGTGGAGTTCCTCGTCGACTTTTTGACGGCAATGGCAGCAGCCAAAACAGCGGTGCTGCCACCAGCACCACCAACAGGCAACAGCAGGCGGTTGCCGGAGGATCCAATTGCTATGTGGTCGGATCCAGTTCTTCGCCATGCGGAACTCTGGCCAGTATACACTCGAACCACTCGGCCTCATCCTCGAATGGCACGAACAGCAGTAGCAGTGGAGCACTCATTACCTTTCAATGTAATCCAGGAGGAAGTGGTGGTCAGGACACAGTAGACGTAGCCACCCTGCCAATGCAGCAGCAGCAGCAGCAGACGACAGTTGGATCGCCCAATGGCCATGGCAACAGCCCTCGTTCCGGTGACGCACTCAGTTCGATGGCCGCCAGTCCCACGGACGCTTGTAGCATCCGCTCCAATCCATCGGCCGCCTCGTTACTGCTCTCCACTTCGGCAGCTGCCGCAGAGGCATCCGCAATGGCCTCCGCAACCACCATGTCCGTGACTGGTGCCACACTTTCGCCGCTGGCCACCACCCAAATCATTCGCCGCCCTAGCATCACAATGATGTGGGTTGACTTGCAGTTCGCTCATTGGTTTCCAACTTTTCACTTATTCACTTTCGTACTGTTAGCTTTTTAGTTGTAATGCCAAATGTTTAAGGAACGTCCAGAAATCAGCATATTTCAAACTCCTGCTAAAATTTTATTGTATTCAAATTATTATTTCCGCAGGAGGGAGATTTAGCTTATCTGCACAACCCTAGTAATAAGTTTTACATAGTCTTTTAAATTTTGAAATATCATTTATTCATAATTATTGAAATAAAAATATAATTTTTCAAAAATATCTTTTGCTTAATTTAATTTATATAATTATTTATTTAACTTATATAATATACAAATTGACCTATTCATCTAAATGTGATTCATTTTGTTATTTAAGTTTGTTTTTCATTTCAAATTTTTTAAACAAAATTTGTTATACTCATTGTTGGGTTTTTATTTAAATCAAGAAAACTAAGTTTTTCCAATGAAATTTGTTGATTTTGCGTCATACTCGTTTATCAGCATATTCATTCCATGAATCAAAAAGCACAGTGTTTGGTTGGCATGCTCCGACTTAAATGTACCCAAACTTTGTATTGTTCTGCCTCGTTTTTGCTTGCGTTTCCGTTGTCCTGTTTTTTATCGCAATTGCTATACACGCCAGAAAGTTTTATTTCTTAATGCACTTATTTGTATAGTCTGTTAAAATATTATATAATAACATATACTTAAAGTTGTTAACAACCAAGATCATTTTACTCCTACAGGAATCCCAGTTCCGGTTCGTTAGTTATAAGTGAAACAGGATCTCTAGATCGGACGAAAAGCAGCGGTGAGAAGCGCAAAAAAGGAGCGCTGGATGACGGGCCACGCGTTTCGGACAGAGTGGAGGAGACGCGGGTTAATCCAGACTTCTTAATTGATGAGATTTTGAAGGACACCAAGCTGGATCAGCTGGAAGAATCCGCTGAAAGTAAGTAGTTTAATGAGAATTGTGCTAATGTGTATGCACTAATCACTTCTCCCATTTTTTCTCCCATTTGTTTAGCCTCAGGCCTTCAGTTGTACATCGCCCGTGATGGAACCGCCTCCTTGGGCGGACACGAGGTCAAGTCAAGCGTCCGAGCGGGGGCCCTCAAACAGGTTGTCATGCAGGATAGAAGATAGTAGTGTCCGGGACTCCTAACTGTTTTTTAAAGTGAATTAGAAGACTTACCGATCGAGTAAAAAAACAGAAAGTGTAACAACTAATCTATAGTTTAGGAAATGCAAAAATGTTTACTTGCAAACTAAAGTGAGAATACAAATACGCTATATATGAGTATATAAATGTATGTCATGTCGAAACTACACTACAATGAATGTAATTAACGAGCTATATATATGCTGCTAAACAAATATGCATAAACATATGTATGTTAAAGATATGTCAACAGGCAATGGTCGGGCAATATTGCGTTCAACTCTGTCTTTATTAACATGGCTAGGTGTTTGGCAAGTGTTGTGGATCAGGTAGAGAACCGCTAAGAATTAGGAAAACCAAAAATGAACTTCGTAAAGCTGCAGTTTACATATGTATGGAAATAACACAAAGAAAAAATATAGATGAGATACAAATTGTAAGTTCTAATTTTCAAAATTATGATTTCGATTTTTGCTTCCATTAATATGTCCAGCCTCAGGCATTAAAATATATTCAAACAAAATAATCGAAACAAAATGCAAATTTTCCATTTAATCGAAACTACTTCGGGGTCGATCTGCTATACATAATGTTACATGCCATAATTAATACAATGCTTCTAAATTATAATCCCGAGCTGTAGAAATCATCGAAATATAGCGCATCAATCAAAATCTAAATAAGTTAATAATCAGCTAAAATAGTTTTACATTTACCAATTCAGCCCGCAATTTGCATTTTGATTTTGACAATTTTTATTACCATTTACAAAAAATTTTACTTTATTAGCCTCATATATCGTTGTACATTGCTAACTGGTATTCTTAGCTCGTAGTTAGTATTTTAAACTTTCGTAAATCGTTAACGCAAATTGTGAAAATATTGCAATAATCAATACAAGTTTCAATATTTTGATGTAAAAATATATTTTTGAGTTTATTATTTTGTATCACCAAAACTTCAAAAGCAACCAACGCGTTAGATGTGAAAACAAAACATGCAATTAGTTATTAGCTATAGTTTATGTTAATAATGTCTGTGTAAAATTGCTTTAGTTATTTTTCGATTATTTGTAAAAAAGAGGAGAACTCGAAAAGCTCCATGGTAGTTTTTTAAATTGTACATGAAACAAAAGAAAAATAAAAATGTCGAATATATCGTGTTGGTCAAATGTTGTTGTTTATCAAGGCAAACTAAAATATATTCTAAATTACTTAAAATTATCAAAATCCAACTTTATCTATTCACTGAATTGAAATCTTCATTGCATTATTCGTAATCCTTGGATCCTATTTTGAAAAGATAAACTCTTAGGTTCGTCTGATAGATAGAAATTCATAAAATCTTTGGAATTTATAAGATTTAATAATACACATTATCAACAACAATTGGCCAACTCAACTGACAAATTTGTGTGAAAATTTTTGAACTGAACTTAAAAAAAGTTTGAAATACAAAAGTAAAAAAAAAATATGTGACAAATTCAATTACCAATAAACAACATAAATATAGATAAAAATGAAAATATGAAAAACATTTAATTTAAAGCGGATTTTTAACAAAATCTGGGTGGGTTCCATTATGAGTAGCAAAGAAAAAGGCTTTGGTATCGAATTTTATTTCTGGCAAACGCTGTTTTCATTGCTGGGATGAGAAGCATTCCGGATCGAAGATATCGGGATATGGCCAGTACTATAATCTTTATCGCAGACTACGTACGCTTTTAAATCGTGGTACTTTTCTCTTTTCGGCTAGTCTATGGACTATAATAGACCGTTGTATTGGGGAAAGCAATGTTTAACAGGGAAACCGCTTTTTTCATATAGTAAAGTTGTTATATTCTTTTATTGATATCCTTAGTCCAGTTTAATTACCATTCACAGCTTCTTCTATTCTTTATTTAAGTTAAAATATAAATAAATTGAATAATAGTCCATAATAATTCCAAGAAAAATGCCCGTGGTATCTAAAACTGATTGTGCAAAGCCGGCCGGGGAAGTCCAAACGATTTTATGTTGCATAAAATAAAGCTAAATAAAATCGACATTAATTTTCGAAAATTTAACAATATTTAAGAAATACTTGCCTTAAAAACATGGGCCAGTTGCCTTTGGTTTATTATTTAAAGAGAATCTGCCATTTTTAGGGCGATAGCGGTTGAACATTTCTCCGAGTGAGCGCTTGATTAGAGTTGGATCTTGAAGGAGTAGTGCGGTGTTCTGCAAGAAGGGCTTTCCCACAGAAGCGCGGCCGGTAGCTTCACTGTCGTTGGGCTTTCGAAACTGATCGCCAAAGGAGCAGGGGCTCCGCAAAAGTTTCCACAACTTTCCCACAAAGGACGTGTCCGTAATTAAACGCCAGTCTCCGTAACGATGAAGTTTCCACAGCCAAAGGATCACCGTTCCGAGTAGCGATCCACCGATGACGATGACGGGAAAAAAGACAAGGAATCCGAGAGCCACAATAAACAAAAGTATGATGACAATCATGATTTCTGAATGACTGTCTAACGACAACTGAGTTACTGCACTAAGTTTACACGACTAAATAGAACATTTTCAAACGAGCAAAATGAGCAAATTTTCGTTCTCTCTTAAAACACCCGACCAGAATATCCCTATTAATTTTATAATATATATTTTTATATTATAGATAATACATTATTCTTAGAGAGATGTTCAAAAAACTTCCATTTTATACTTATTATACTTATTTTGGTTAGAATTTTCCGTAATCTGTGTTTAAAATGGAGGTAAAATAGGGAAAGAAAGTCCAGATGGATCGAGCTTTTTCGTTCGTGCTTTTTTTAAGATAGCGAGCTCGGCTCAAAATATACTCTGCAGTCGTGGATAAAGTGGGTATAAAACGAAGACTGTGCTTAGTCCAGTAACTAAGTTGTGGCCAGACAGTCTTCACGTAACCATGTGCGAGTGTGTTTTCGTTGCAGTGTGTCTAGGATGTCTCGTCCTGATCCCTGTGATATTGTTAATAATGGTGGCCATGGGATTTTTCGTCCTAGTCTCAGTGTCAGTTTTTGGATTTCTCGTCATGCCCCTCGTAATAGGAGGTGCATTGCTACTTGGATGGCTGATCGTTTGGCTGTGGCAGCGATATCGTTTGGGGCACTGGCTACGATTGGGCGTCCCCTTCATTCCGGCCACGCCCTTTGTGGGAAATGTGTGGAAACTTTTGCGCGGTGCCTGCTGTTTTGGCGATCAATTCCGGAAGCTTTACGAGAGTGCTAAAGCTGCCGGCCGCGCCTTCGTGGGAATCCACGTCCTGCAAAAGCCTGCTCTGCTCATCCGAGATCCGGCTCTGATCAAGCGCATTTTGGTGGAAGACTGTGACCAGTTCTCTAGCCGCTTGGAGACCACGGACCACGTCTGCGACACTATGGGCTCCCAGAACCTATTCTTTTCCAAATATGAAACCTGGCGGGAGACGCACAGGATCCTTGCACCATTCTTTGCTGACGGAAAGGTGCGTCAGATGTACGGACTTCTGGAGAGCATTGGCCGGAGACTCGAAGTACATATAGAGGAGAACCTAATGGGAAAAAATAGTGTGGAGCTGGAGGTCAAACAATTGGGTGCTCTCTTCACCACGGACATCATTGCATCACTGGCTTTTGGCATTGAGGCGCATAGCCTGCAAAATCCAGAAGCAGAGTTCCATCGCATGTGCGTTAAGGTCAATGATCCTCGGCCGAAGCGCCTGTTTCACCTCTTCACAATGTTCTTCTTTCCGCGATTATCGCGCTGGGTTCGCAGTCATCTTTACTCCGATGAGTATGAACGTTTTATGCGTCAGTCCATGGACAATATACTGGCCCAACGGGAGGAAAGTGGAGAAAAACGGCACGATTTGATCGACATATTTCTGCAGTTAAAGCGTACCGAGCCTGCGGAAAGCATAGTACATCGTCCAGACTTTTTTGTGGCACAGGCTGCTTTTCTGCTTTTGGGTGGCTTTAACACCTCGTCTTCCACCATAACATTTGCCCTATACGAGCTGGCCAAAAATCCAGCGATTCAGAGGCGATTGCGTGAGGAGATTCGCGAGGCACTTCAGTCTAAAGGTAATCAGCTGAGCTGTGAAACCGTCACTGGAATGGTATACCTGCGACAAGTGGTGGACGAAGTTCTGAGGCTATATCCGCCCACGGCATTCCTCGACCGTTGCTGCAGCTCCCGCGAAGGTTACGATCTATCTTCCTGGAACTGCGGGTCGCCGTTCAAGTTGCGTGCGGGCACGCCGGTCTACATATCAGTGTTGGGACTCCATCGCAATGCACAGGTCAGATAAGCAGTAGTGTCTGTTTCGCTCAATATTCTATAACTTCATTGATTTTAGTTCTGGCCAAATCCCGATGTCTTCGATCCGGAACGCTTCTCATCCGAGCAACGCCAGCATCACCATCCCATGGCGTATTTGCCTTTTGGCGCCGGCCCAAGAGGCTTCATTGGAACACTGTTGGGCCAGTTGGAGATTAAAGTTGGACTGTTACATATTCTGAAAAACTTTAGGGTGGAGCTCTGCGAGAGGACTTTGCCGGAAATGAAATTCGATCCCAAGGCCTTTGTCCTTGCTGCTCATAACGAAACCCACCTCCGTTTCGTTAAAAATCCAGTTTGAAGTAAATGACCTTAAATGAATAGAATTTGTAAAATTAAAAAATTTAAATAAATAAAGAAATAACTGCACTATCCGTAACTTTCCGCTTGCAAAGTGGCACTGTTCTTAATAATTGTAGTTTAATTCTCTTAATATCTGCCTTGATATTAATTTTTTTTTTTTAAGTTTGTGTTTAATTAATTCCAAGCAAACACTGTGCTTTTTATTTTATGTAATAAATATGCTGATAAACGAGTATGACTCAAAATTAAAAAATCTCATAATCAAAATTATTAAAAACTTAGTTTCCTTGACCGGACAAAATTCCCAAATGAGTAATTTGACTAAATTTGTCTGAAAAATTGAAGATATACAAAAATAAGATAAATTAAGATATACTCTGACATGCCGAATTTATATACCAATACCATAATCCATCAAAAATTTAACGACTCCAATACCTTTTTCAATCATCCATGGCAGCTATATGATAAAGTCGTAGAAATTTTTATATATATAAAATGGCTTTGCAGAAAAGTGCCAAAAAACGGCACTGCCAAGCCCATAACTTTTCTTACAGTCATCCGATTTCCAAAAGGAATACTTCTAAATGATTGTAGATAAATGCTCTAAAAATCTGTGTTCAAATCTTGGTTTATATATTGGGGTCGATTTTTTGTCATATATACAGTGTTACCCCTTTCCAAATTTGCGAAAAATGGCTTTGCAGAAAAGTGACCTAAAACCTGCACTTCTAAGCCCATAACTTTTCTTACAGACATCCGATTCCAAAGTGGCATACCTCTAAATGATTGTGGCTTAACTCTCTAAAAATTTGTGTTTTCACTTTATTTTTTATTTTTGGGTCGATTTTTCGTCATTTTCAATTTCCAAATTTGCAGAAAAGTTCCAAAAAACCGCACTTCTAGGCTTATAACTTTTCTTAGAGACATCGGAATTGAAAGTGGAATACTTCTAAATGATTGTGTTTCGATTATCTAAAAATCTGTGTTTAAATCTTGGTATGTATATTTAGATTGATTTTTTTGTAATTTCTATTCCCTTGCAGAGGGCATTATAAATTAACGGAAAGGGAAGGATACATTTCCGGCGCTAAAAAGTAAAACTAAAAAAAAATTAAAATATGAAGAGCCTTTAATTCAAAGAGGATTTTTAACAAAACGGAGGTAGGTTCCATTATGAGCAGCAAGGACAAAGGCCTTGGGATCGAATTTCATTTCCGACAAAGACCTCTCGCAAAGCTCCACCCGAAAGTTTTTCAGAATGTGCAACAGTCCAACTTTAATCTCCAACTGGCCCAACAGTGTTCCAATGCAGCCCCTTGGACCTGCGCCAAAAGGCAAATACGTCATGGGATGGTGCTGTTGGCGTTGCTCAGATGAGAAGCGTTCCGGATCAAAGACATCGGGATTTGGCCAAAACTAAAATCAATGAAGTTATAGAATATTGAGCGAAACAGACACTACTGCTTATCTGACCTGTGCATTGCGATGGAGTCCCAACACTGATATGTAGACCGGCGTGCCCGCACGCAACTTGAACGGCGACCCGCAGTTCCAGGATGACAGATCGTAACCTTCGCGGGAGTTGCAGCAACGGTCGAGGAATGCCGTGGGCGGATATAGTCTCAGAACTTCGTCCACCACTTGTCGCAGGTATACCATTCCAGTGACTGTGTCGCAGCTCAGCTGCTGATCATTAGACCGAAGTGACTCGCGAATCTCCTCACGCAATCGCCGCTGAATCGCTGGCATTTTGGCCAGCTCGTATAGGGCAAAGGTTATGGTGGATGACGAGGTATCAAAGCCAGCTAAAAGCAAGAAAGAAGCCTGGGCCACAAAAAAGTCCGGGCGATTTACTATGCTTTCTGCAGGCTCGGTACGCTTTAATTGCAGAAATATGTCTATTAAATCGTGGCGCTTTTCTCCACTTTTCTCCCGTTGGGCCAGTATAAAGTCCATCGACTTGCGCATAAACCGTTCATACTCATCCGAATAAAGATGAGTGCGAACCTGGCGCGATAATCGCGGAAAAAAGAACATTGTGAAGAGGTGTAAAAGGCGCTTCGGCCGAGGATCGTTCACCTCAACGCACATGCGACGGAACTCCGCTTCTGGATTTTGCAGACTATGCGCCTCAATGCCAAAAGCCAGTGATGCAATGATGTCCGTGGTGAAGAGAGCACACAATTGCTTGACCTCCAGCTCCACACTATCCTTCCCCATCAGCTTCTCCTCCATATGTTCCTCGAGCTTCTGTCCAATGCTCTCCAGAAGTCCGTACATCTGACGCACCTTTCCGACAGCAAAGAATGGTGCAAAGATCCTGTGTGTCTCCCGCCAGGTTTCATATTTGGAAAAGAATAGGTTCTGGGAGCCCATTGTGTCGCAGACGGGATCTGTGGTCTCAAAGCGACTTGAGAACTGGGAAAAGTCTTCCACCAAAATGCGCTTGATCAGAGCCGGATCTCGGATGAGCAGCGCGTGGTTGTGCAGGACGTGGATTCCCACGTACGGGCGGTTGGCAGCTTCACCACTCTCGTAAAGCTCTCGGAATTGATCGCCAAAGCAGCATGCACCGCGCAAAAGTTTCCACACATTTCCCACAAAGGGCGTGGCCGGGATAAATGGGACGCCCAAACGGCGCCAGTGGCAAAAATGATGTCGTTGCCACAGCCAAACAATTACCAATCCAAGCAGCAATCCGCTGACGATCACGGGGAGAAAGACGAGGAATCCAAGAGCCACAGTAAAAATAAGAATGACAGCGATCATGATTACGTGAAGACTGTCTGACCACAACTGACTTACTGCACTGAGCTCAATTATCGCTATCTGCCCGGCACACACGATCGTATAGTATATTTTCAATAGAGCGAATGTGTTCATTTTCGCTCTCTTATAAAACACCCGACGTTAATTTCCCGATCAGTTTGTTTTTGTAAATGCACGCAGCTTATCATACTGTGTTTTTAGGACCCTCAGATTATCTTTTGGAGCTCACAGAATATTACATAAATAAATTTACACTTTCTTCTTTTGTCAATATTCGCTGCTGATAAGACCGATCAAGCCAATTAAGCTATATTAATGCATGTACTGCTATAACATTGTTTGTATCATGTCGTAAGCAGGAGTTGGACTTCCCTTACCCTACTTCAATTGCCTCCATTCTTAACCCAGTTTTCGGGTAGCTTGACCATCAGAAAAAGTATAAACTGTCTATTCGGTCGATTACCAGACAAAAATATAAGCAGTCTCCAATTTAGTAAAATAAATATTTCATTTTTTTAATCTTTTAAAGAATAATATAAAAATAAACATTTTATTAAAATAGGTCGGTATATTAAACCGTTCCCATTCCTGAAAATTAGAATGAAACGCTCAAAAAATATTCGCAGCTCATGTCAAAAACTTGTAAAATCGTTAGTTTATTTTACGCTTAAGTCAAAGATTGTAGGCACTAATTGCTGCTCTGCGTATCTATCCATTTGCGGGCTGCCAATCTATAGTATAAAAATCTGCCTTATTTGCATTTTGTACAATTAGTGCTGCACAATTTGTTGAAGTTAATTGTTAAAATAAAGATTGAATTAAATAAATTCATATCACGGGCAACAGCATCAACGGTTAGGGGCCATGTAGGTTGGGATGCTGGCCACTTGAGTTCTGAAGGGCCTTGGCCACCTCCTCTTGCAATGTGCTGGGTGGCTCTGACACGATATCCGTGTGCATAGATAGGTACTTTAATTTATTCGTAACAGCTAAAAATAAATAAATAACAAATTTTTAAAACGGCTCATTTTGTATGAAATAGGATTAACTTACCAGGACGCAGATCAATAAGAGAACAGTGCTGATCCACCCAAAGGAAGGCGGTTCGACGCAGCTCGTCAAGACTGGCGCTCGAGACTGTTGACGTGTAAGAGGCAAGCAGAGGCTCGAGAATGAGACCCAACTGAAAAAGCAATTCAAATTAATTAAATGTTGTACTATATTTTCTTGATAGAAATATTCTTTTTGTATTCAGAATTCAGTTCGTCCTCGTTTTCACAATCTTTTGAGTGGAGGATTTATTAATGAACACAAAATTATTAAGTTCGTTATTTTTGAGCAAGTTTCCACCTAAAAAATTTTACTTAAGAAGCAGACTTCTGACCTCTACACTATGTGATTCAATAAATTCTTTTCTCTACTTACAATCCAAAACTTCCAGTCGTTCATCGTGTTGTACCGCACAAAAATCTCGTACAGCTGCCGAACGTGCTCTGTTCCCTGCCTCGTTACTGGCGCCCCATTTGCAGGCAGAATGGAGTGAAGGTGCCTTTTGAAGAAATATAATTGAATTATTTGTCAATAGATATATTTTATAGTTTGACTTACGTTAGCGAGTTGTTTAGCTCGTCCCGCTCCATTCGCAGCGCCTCTATCTTATCCTTTAACACGTTGCGCTCCTGTCGCAGTTGCTTTATGTGGTCCGCTCCCTTCTGCAGCATAGCTGCCTTGCTCAACTTGGCATTGGGGTTCTGCTGAAGCTGTGGGATAAGCGCGTGCAGGGTGTCGAACCCGTTCTTAATGTTGTATCGCCGCTTCTGCTCGGCATGTATGTGACCAGCCCGCCGCTGTGTGTCCCTCGGCTGGTATTTGAGGCTGGCCGTGGGCGACAGTGGGGAGTCCTGCGACTCGTGGAAAGGCGAGTCCGGTGACAAACTCAGGCTGCTGCTGCCCAGGTTAGCCGTATTGGGTCCAAAGCTGTGCATTTTACTCCCGCCGGGGGGGCTGTGCAGTGCCGGATTGATGGCCATGGGCAATGAGGCGGACTTCTTTGGTGAGTGTTGCTGCGTTGGCACCGGCACCGACAGCGGCGTTGTGACGTTAGCATATAGAGCCGGAGAAACGTTGCTGCTGTTGCTGGTGGTGACTATGGCACTGGCGGAAGATGAATTTCCTGGCATACTGTTCGCCACGGCTGATTGCAGACGTGAATCTGAAAATGGAAATATTTTGTCATAACTATTTCGGAGATCTTCGTAATGATTCAAAAACTTACTCGAAGTGAGCAACTGTGCCAGTGTGCTATTCAGCATGGGATCGCTGGTGGCCTGCTGCATTTGCTGAGTGACCAGCAGGTTGCTGCAACTGTGTGCGCTTAACGGAGAGTTTCCCGCTCCCGCTCCTGCTGCGGCCACCACCGACGTGTGCTGCTGGTGCATCGAATTGCTGCGAACCCGCGACTTGCCCTTCACATGGTACTTGGGCACTGCGAAGGGTTGTTCATGGACGTGTTGCCGACCATCGGGCAGCTTATTCAGCGATACGTTCAGGGGCAAGCTGTTGGAGCGATGGATTTCTTTTGGCAAAACGGTATTCGGCGACACCCAAGTGGCTGTGCTAACAGCAGTCGGCAATTGCTGCTGCTGCTGATGGCTTTGCTGCTGGTGTTGCTGTTGCAGCAAACTGACCACCGTTGATTGGTGCTGCTGCTGCTGCTGCTGTTGTTGTGTGTTGGTAGCCTGCTGCTGGCGGGAAAGCTGCAAAAGTTGCTGAGTACTCAGCCCCAAGGGCAGCGACTGCTGCATTTGCAATGGCTCCGGCTGCAGGTAACTCTGTTGCTGTTGCTGCTGCTGCTGCGGCAGCCGGGGCACATTGAGAAAGGTTCCCGTCGAGGCAGACTTCTTAAACTGCGGATAGGGCTTGTAGGCAATAGAGTTGTATGCACTATCGTTTAGTAATGACAAGACATCGGCATGCGAAGGCTCCACTTTGACGTTGAGTTGTTGCTGATGCTGTTGCTGCTGATAGTTGTCCGTGTAGCTGCTCATGAAACTCTGGTTATTGAAGGCATTTGTCTGTTGTGTTGGAAAGTGTTGCTGTTGCGTAAGCTGTTGCTGCTGCTGCTGTTGCTGCTGCGCTGACTGAAAAGCGCCCGGCAAGACAACGCCGCCGACGACATGTTGCTGCTGGTTCTTTTGCTGTTCGGCCAACATCTGCTGGTAGAGGTTCGTCTGATGCAGCGTGGGCTGAGCCTTGTCGTAGTTATGCGGCTCCCGGCGGAATGGACGCTGGGTGCTCTTGGCCACGCGGCCGTTTATCACGCACCTATTGCTGCTGTTGTCGCTGGCGCCGCCGACAGACCCAAAGTGCTTGCCTCCATGTATCCGGCCGGACATTGAGTTCGGGTCACCGAGAAGCTGAGAATCGTTTGCGGACTGCTGCACCTGTCGCGCCACGGAGAAACGCTGCTCCACCTCGCCGTACGACATGTTGTTGATGGGCGTGTTGAGCTCCAGCATACTGGCATCCACATTTCCGGCCCCACTGTTACTGCTGTTGACCACATCCATTATGCTGTCGTTGCAGTAGAGTGTGTGGGGAGCGCCCACAATCGCCGTCAGGCAGTATTCGTCGTTCTTGAGCATATCTGCATCTGTTCCCTCTTCTGGGACGGGTGGCAAGCGTGAGGTTTGAATTAGGTCTGTAAAATAGATACAAAATGTTATTACTTAATCTTCTTTATAACGAAAACGCACTTACCTGAGAAGCTCAGGTCGATGTCATCTAAATTCGGTTGCAGAGGTCCCAGACTGGGCTGTATGAAGTCCGCGATACCAGCGCCGCGTGCTAATCATTGAAGGAATTGTTATTCATAAGCTAAGACTATTTATTTGGGAACACGCACCAATTTCCCGGGAATCAGGAAAAGGAAATGGAACATTTATGGCCGAGAACAAGGTGTCCGTTGTCCAATCAGCTGGCATCAAGTCCCTATCGTTAAGCGGCGACCATTCCAAGAAGTCCAACTCGCTTTTCTGTAAGTACAAAATGTTGGGTTATCATTTAATGTATGAACAAAGATAGTCGCTAATATTATGCTAGTTAAGTGGCTAGTTATTGGCTGTCAGTCAGTATGGTCATGTGGTCTGCGTGACACTATGTTCAGTTTTAAATGTGTTACTTATGTATTATCCCAAAATAAACTATAGAGGGGTAAGCCTAGAGGCCAACAAACAATAACATTTTGGGTGAAGTGTGATTTTTTTAGTAATTTCATGTTGATTTTAAATAAACTATTAGGTGAATATACCTGCTCTTTTATTTCAAATGCATTTCAAAGATAAGTTATCATTTGATTGGCATATTCACTTAAAGAATTAGAAGAACAAAAAGGACCACTCTCATACATAAAAGCAATTAGCAATGAAAGTTACTGAAAGATACTGGCACCCATCAACTGGCAATTAGTTTAATTAAAATATAGACGACCAATATTTTGATGATTTGTCAGTTAGCTTAGTGAAATATTACCAACAGCACGTATGGCCAGAATGTCTTTCCTGCACTATCAACGCTACTTGGGTCTTTCGGACCTGGACTTTTCCGATTCGTTGCAAAAGTACTGGATCCACAAAACATGGTTTTCATTTGCGGCTCAATTTATGGTCGTTGGCGTTTTCGTTTCCGCTCTGGTTGCGGCACTGGCCGAATCCCTTTACTACATGGAAACCAAATCCCAGACAGGCAACACGTATGACAACGCAGTGATCCTGACAACCTCGATCAGTCAGCTGCTGGCCAATTTATGGTTCCGATCGCAGCAGGAATCGCAGGTGGTCCTGCTACACCGCTTATCTAAGTTGGTGCTGCGTTTTAAATTGGATCCGATGATAATGCCCCATTGGATCTACCGCATCTGGCTGGCTGTGTGCCTTCTCTATGCGATATTGATGACCAATTTTGGCTTCTATTGGTTCAAGGACATGCAACTAAGTCACATTCTCACTCTGCTGGGATTTGGAGCACGCTGCGTTTTGGCCAATTTCCAGTTCACCTGCTATAGCGGCATGGTATTAGTTCTACAAAGGCTACTTCGTGCGCAGGGCGATCAATTAGAGGATCTGGTGTCCACCACCTCCATCTCACCGGCAGATCTAGCCTGCTGTTTGAGGGCCCACGATGAGATCTTGCTGCTTTGTCAAAGGGAATTGGTTGAAGTTTATGGCGGAGTCCTACTCTTTCTCTTCATATACCAAGTCATGCAGTGTGTGCTAATATTCTACGTCAGCCACTTGGCGGGGTTGAATTCATACAGTGACCTTGTGCTCATTCTATTATGGCTGATACCGATGCTCTTTTATCTCATCCTACCTTTGGTCGTTAATGACGTACTCAATCAGGTAAGTTTCTTTTAACGCTTGACCGTCGTTCTTAAGAAAACAAATGGGTTATGGTCTAGTGTCCCGAAGAAGTGACACTCTTTAATCAACTACAACTTAAATCTAATGGTACAATATCTAATCGGGTCAGGACTAAATTGAGTATCCAAAATAGTTTGCTTGGAAGAACTACAATTACTCAGCGGTATAAATGTACGAGGTATTAATATGGTTATTTATTTATCTCCCCATTGCTTCAAGTTATTTGCTTAATTTAATGCTCTAGTCACAATACTATATTTAGCTGTGAAATACAAATCTGGCTAATGGTGGGTAGCCCACCGAAAATTGCCGTTTATTCAAGTTCATTAGAGAGCTAGACATTGAATCGCTATGGACGACTTCCAGCCGGGGGAATTATGTGCGTACTACCGCCTGTGTCGATACTTGGGCATATTCTGCATCGACTACAATCCCAACAAGAAGAGGTTCCTGTTGCGGCGCAGTCTCATCTGTTACGTGGTACACTTCGTCCTGCAGGCCTATTTGGTCGGCTGCATGGCCATCATGGTCACATTCTGGCGAAACTCCTTCAAGAGGGAACTGACGACGACCGGAAACCACTTCGACCGGCTGGTGATGGTGGTTTCCCTGGGAATTTTGCTGCTCCAGAATGCCTGGCTAATCAAGTTGCAGGCACCGCATCTTCGGATCGTCCGGCAAATAGAGTTTTATCGTCGGAGGTACTTGGCTGATGTGCAGCTCTTGTTACCCAAACGCCTGCTCTGGCTCATCATTGCCTCCAATCTACTCTACACGGCCAACTTCATCAAGACATGCGTCTTCGATTGGCTGTCGGATGCCTCACAGCTCTTTGTTATTACTACGCTGGGATTCCCCCTTCGATATATGGTTACCAGTTTTACAATGGGCACATTCTTCTGCATGGTGCACATTTTGCGCTTGGTGATCAGCTGGAACCAGTCACAAATCACTGATATTATCAAACAATCGGGAGACCTCAAGAAGAGCAGCGCCAATCTCATTCGTTTGCGCGGATGCTTGGATCTCCACGATCGCGTGGTGCTCCTCTGCAATAATGAGATTAGTCTTGTCTATGGGTTCATCGCCTGGCTGTCGTGGATGTTCGCCTCGCTGGATGTAACTGGTGTTATTTATCTGACTATGGTGATTCAAACCAAGAAGCCGCTTTGCCTAAAACTGGTGACAGACATTGTGTGGCTTTCGCCAACTTTGATGACCTGTGCCGCTAGTTTCCTAAGCAATCGCGTAGGCATTCAGGTATGTAAAAAGAACAACAGAATTTTAAACTCCATCACAGTTATCAAAAATCTATATCTTTTAAATAACATATACATGGCGTTCTAGTCTCTGAAACAAACTTTTAATAACTTGAAAGGACTAACGCTTTTGTGTTCCCATTCTACCTATATGCAAGTTACTTCTTATCTCCTTTTTATAAACGAAATCTATATCAGGTTACTTATTGATTATTCAGTGGGGCGAAAAAGCTGAGGAACCCTCAGAGTTTCCTGTTGTCAGTTCGTGGTATTCCGTCATGACCCTCGGTTACGACCTGCGGTTGTATTTGCAAACATTTAAGTGCCTCGGACTGTTCTGTATTACACAGGAGTATGACAGCGAGTATAGATCGTACGCATCAAGAAGAGATGACATAATTTCATTGATGGGACTGCTTATCTCGCAGTGCCTTGCGCTAGTGGCCCTGGGTCATGTTATGACTAAACCTGGACAATACAAGCTTCCCGTGTACGGAGATGTGGGAAACACGTATTTTTTGGCCAATTATGGAATAGCCTGCTTGATGATTAGCCTCATCCACCTGTACTTCTATGTGCGCCGTGGTAGATTAGCATTATTGATCTCCCTGCTGCTGCATCATAATCGGATGGATCTGGAGAATCGACATGCCACAGAGTTCCGCCGAATTTACGCCGTGTACGTCAGCCAAGTGCTTCTCACTGGAATTCTTCAGATCAAGTCGTTTACCCACTCTGGTTTTGAACAGTCGACAACAGTGATACTAGCCGCATTTTCAACCTACAGTTATGTACTGCTCGGTCTGATCGTCGCCTTTCACTATTGTTTGGTACGGATTTCGGCCAGCTTGATACTATTCTACAACCAAGACCTGTCGAAGCTAGTGGACTCCAACCTGATATTATCGGGGACCTTGTGCGTATTGCGTCTGCGACAACGCAGTCGTTTGCTATGCGTTTGCACTCAGCGAATTAGCTCTGACTTTGGTCTGGTATTAGTGCTAATTATGGCGTTCCTACTCTTCTCGGCGCCAGCTGCTCCCTTCTTTTTGCTTACGATCGTCTTTGAAATCGACGCTGGCGGAACGGGACTCAAATTTTTATGGCATGCGCTGGTCACCACGCTCCTGTGGAATCTACCAGTAACGGTGGCCGTACTGATGACATTACGCACTGATTTGGTGCGAAAAGAGGTGAGCTGAGATGTTAACTCTTGTCCCAATCTACAATATGATATGGGTTCCAGCAGTTTTGCAAAAAATACACTTAGGCTTCAAAGCAAGAAGGTACTGTATTCTATAACTCGAAGTCTTCAAGGTATACAAAGTATTAACTAATAACGTATAATTTAATAATCGGACTATATCGTACATTTATGTAGATTTAAGTTAGAAAGATACTTTGTAAAAGGTCAGTAATTTAGGCATATATCGAATGTTTTATTTACCCTACCATTTAATAATACCCCAAAAAGTATATAGCAATGTCACAATTTAATCCATTAAGTGTTTTTACCCTAACCAAGATGGTCAAATATTGACTTAATGCTGTTGTTTATATGGTTGAATAACCAAGTCCCTGGAGAGGTAACATTAGATATATACCATATTTTCAGTGAAAATACGAAATGTACATCTGTTTTTAAATATAAGTTATTAGTGGATTGACGCATACGAAATGTCACGCAACGCTTTTGAGGAATTACGGGTTCAGCTGCGAACACTGCGATATCTGGGGGTTCTGCGCTTCAGCATCGATTTTGAGAAGTGTTTAGTGCGGGAAAATGCTTTCGACGAGCGCATTGCCTGGTTGTATTTAATCGGGATTTTCGGAATCACCTGTAGTTTTCTCAGCTACAGCTGGTACTACCCCAATCACTTTGTCATGGGCAGACACAACAGCACGGGCAACTGCTATGCCCTGATCAACATCAGGTGCTGTTCCATATTCACACTGCTGGTCTACATTCAGCTCTATGTACGACGCTGTAGGTTCGCAAATCTTTTGCAGTCGATGTTGCGGTTTAACCAAATCACGGGATGTCGCAGTGGAGCCTTGAAGTTTGCTTCTCCCTACTTTCTGCATTTGTCTCTTTTTGCGATTTGCATGCTGAACTACACCTACGGATATTTTGCGGCAGGCGTTCGCGTCACCACAATTCCCATTTACCTCCTGCAGTACGGATTTTCATACCTCATTCTTGGCCAAGTGGTTGTACTATTCGCCTGTTTTCAACAAATTCTTCTCTCGATTTTAAGGCACTACAATCAAGTACTTCTCGAAAATGTAAAGTTAGGCAAGGAATGCGCCGGATTATATGAAAATTTACGCAAATACAACCAGGTGATGTGGCTTAGCCATGTGGAAGTCAATTATTGTTTCGGCTTGCTACTACTGCCAATAACCGGGTTTATTCTGCTGATAACCCCATCGGGACCATTCTACCTGGTATCCACCATTTTCGAAGGCCGTTTTCGACAAAATTGGAAGTTTGCCTTTATGTCGCTTACTGCCGTAATTTGGAGCCTGCCCTGGGTGGTTTTGCTCGTCTTTGCCATGGGGATCTGCGATGTGCAGAAGGAGGTGAGTAGCTTTTTCCACTCTCTTTAACTGACTTATAAAATAATAGAACAATAAAAAGGGAATGCACATAGACAATCTTTCTAAACACACTAAAAACTTGTATTTTAGGTATTGACTGTAGCTCATTGATTTGGCCTTTAATATGTCTGTCGTTCATAGCTCATAGAAAAATCTCAGATTTTAAGTAATAAATATCTATATTATCTAGATGTTTTGTGAGTGTATCAGAAAAAGGGGGCTAACCTAATTTAATAGGTTTATGTGGTACGCACCAGACCCAATCAATTACCGTGACAGTAATGACATATCTTAATCGGATGAATAAACAATGAAATTGGATACCCATCCGGTGAACTGGTCAGTTCGCAGCGACCCCTCGGCCGCAGAATGTCCAGAGTGTCTCGGGACCTTCGACTGTACCTACGCCTGCTACACCTCATGGGCCTGATGTGCTGGCACTTCGATTCGGAGGGCTGTCAGCTGGTGGCCACGCCCCAAAACGAGCGATACGCCTTGGGTTATGCGGTCTTGATTTTGACCGCTATTACTGTCTGCTTCACCTTTGCTCACCTCCAACCGGATCGCTTTCACATTCCCATTTACAACCGAACGGGAAATTTCTACGAGACCATTATCTTTCGCATCACGTGCCTGGTTTTGATCCTGCTATATGTGATTCTATATTTCCGGCGGCACCGGCACAGGCGTCTCATTCAACACCTATTGCAACTCAACAGGCGGTGCGTGGGCTGTTCCACAGACCGCCAATTTCTGCACAATTTAATACTCTACGGCATATTGTCCGTGGTCTCTTTTGGCAACTACCTGCATGGATATAGTCGCGCTGGAATGACCGGACTTCCGCTGGCTTTGTGTTTGGTGGTCTACGTCTATGCCTTTCTGGTCCTCTGTCTGCTCCTAGTGTTCTTTGTGTGCCTCAAACAGATCATGGCTGCAGGCCTGATCCACTACAACCGGCAGATGGACCTAGGCCATCTGATTCCCGGTCTCCGAGGCAGGCAGCAGATCCTCAGTGTTTGTGGGGGTGAGCTAAACGAGTGCTTTGGCTTGCTCATGCTGCCCATTGTGGCCCTGGTGCTACTGATAGCGCCATCGGGACCCTTCTTTTTAATCAGCACCGTGCTAGAGGGTAAATTCGGCCCCACGGAAAGCCTAGCTATCCTCTTAACTTCCTCCACCTGGGACACGCCCTGGATGATCATGTTGTTTCTCATGCTGCACGCCAATGGCATAACGGCGGAAGTGAGTTCGTTAAGGGAATGGGTTCAAAAAATATGTGTACTTGTGAAATTAAACTGACATCAACTCTAAATCTCTATTTTGCAGGCAAATAAAACGGCAAAGATATTAGCCAAAGTACCTAGGACCGGTACTGGTTTAGATAGAATGGTAAGCAGTCTATAAAATCAATTCTAAAATATCAAGAATAACATTTGCCCCTTTAGATTGAGAAATTCTTACTCAAAAACTTGCGACAGCAACCCATTCTAACAGCTTATGGATTTTTCGCCCTGGATAAAAGCACTTTGTTTAAGGTAAAATGCTTTGTATTTAAAATACCCACTGTCCAATGATAATTAATTATTCATCTTGATACAGTTATTTACAGCAATATTCACGTACATGGTTATTTTGGTGCAGTTTAAGGAGATGGAGAATTCTACAAAGTCAATTAGCAAATTTTAATGACTTACCGAATCGTATGTTAAGCAGCCCGTAGCCTTTGATCTATAGTTTCTGCGCCATTTTCTGTACTCAGCTTTGATTACTGCTGAATGACGTTTCCAGTACTTGCCTTCAAGAACAACAGTCTGTGTGGGGTACAAAAGAAGATAAAGCGAGATGAGAGCGTGTATACACACCGAAACCTTGTTAATTTCCTAATCAAAAGCAAATATATACTACACGTCCTAACTTAATTATGATTAATCGTAATCTATGTACATTCCCGCACAGATAACGGGAGAGCTCTCGGGAAGTGATCTATACTTTGCGCACTTCATAACCTATTCTAATTCTCACTTTCCTTTGGAAGTCCAAAGTCAATATATGTAATTTTTACTTATAATTAAAACTAAATAATCTCATAAAAATAGTAAAGAGAAATAAATGGAGGGATTACGTACTTAGGGCTATAACTATTATGCAAAAAAGGGGAAGGTTAATTTTATTTTGTTCACTAAAAGGTTTTAAAAGTCCCTTTTTTATACATTTTATTCGGTCGGCTATTACAAGCATTACAAGAAATGCAGAACACTGAAGTAATCTACAAGTACCAAGAATTAAGATTGTATAAATTCCAGCGAAAGTTGGCAAACGATAAGTACACCGATTATACATTATGGTACTTAAATTGAATCTCAGTCTATAAATAAGAGTGCCCCGGCAATAGGTTAATGACAGCTAAAAATAACACCCAAAAAAGTCGCACCGCTCTTATCACGTGCAGCTGGAGAGGGTCCGGCGGAAAGGAGATGGTAGGACCGGACCACGGCAATCCCAGGGGTCCAAGGCGTATCTCACCCTGATGTTCAATGGCGCACGACAATCGCGCGACGATCACGTTGCAATCGAGTGATGTCTTCAGTTCCAGCTACGTGAAACCACCATTCGATGTGGGGGTGCTACTTTAGTCGCGGACAGTGAAGTGTTTTGGCGATAGCTAAATGAGGATAGCTCAACCCACCAATGACGGCGTGCGCCACATTTCGCAGGTAATTCCACATTTATGATGCCCTCATGCTTGGATGGTACGATGTCGAATCGAGTGGACAAAATATTTAATCAATGACTAAGGCTAATGGACAAATAAATGCTAGATTGTATTCACAGAATTCTTGAAAAACTGATTTGTTTTTAATTTCACCATTTTTACGATTATTTATTTAAAGCGTATGTCTTCGATAAGCTTTTAAAATATGGGCTATAATTAAAAAGAATTGATATAAATTTTTCAGCAAATATGTCGCGTTTAATGTTACTTTAATTAAACCCACGGGTTGAACATCAGAGGTATCTATATATTGAATCAAAAGGGTAATGTCTTTGGATTTCACAGTATCTTATAAGAGGAGTATTGAAATTGTTACAGAGTTGTATATACCTTTTTTAGTTTATTTTAAATATTTTATTTTATTTAAAAATCTTGGTCAGTGGATTTAAGTGTATTTTAATACATAATATGTGGCACAAAGAGTTTTACATAATGAGTTAAAAGTCTATGTACAGCCCACAATATTCGTTTTAAATATTTTCAAAACTATTATTTAATTATTATATAAATTTACTCATTTAAAACTTTTACTTTACTCGAATCTGTTACCTATTAGAAAACACTCGTCTCACTTATTTAACAGGACATTCACATATCAGTTGACATTTCGTATTTCGGTACTTACTTGAGGATTACTATGTATGTCAACGTCCAGCGGCGATGCGAATTGACACACCGGGGTTCTGCGCTTTTGAATGACTGCAAAAAGGAAAACACACAAATACTGTTTAGTATGAAAAAAAAGCAAGCAAATTGATAAGATTCTAGCGAGAGATACATAGATAGAGATAGTGAGTTCCCCAGAGATGACAAAAGTTACTAGAAACACGTGTGACAGTCCCAATGGCTTCTCCTAACAACTATTTATCTGGGAGAGCTGTGACGTAGCACTCAATTGTACAACAAAGCAAATAGCTCTTAACTCCCAAGCTTAAGAGGACGGATGTACCCACTGCCAGGGAACAAAAATATAGGGTACATATACAAAATATAGGGTTCATATATTTTTGTTTCAAAAGTTTTGAGATTTTAGTTTCTAATTAGTACCTTAGTAGCAACATCGTAAAATAATATACAAAATTAAATGGCAACCAATGACAATCTCGAAACGAGAAGAATCTTTTTAAACATCTTATATTCAAAATTTTTGATGAATTTTTAATAATTAATTTAAGAGCTCTTTGGTTATTAAAAAAATCTATATGACAAAAGTTGGCAAAGCTTTGTTATTCCCTTTTTGTTATTCAGCATTGTTTAGCTTCTTAAGCAGATACAGGTAATTTTTTGGTTTAACCATTTTTTCTCCATTATTTGATAAAAACGTTCATTTATTTTTAGAAAGCCACCTCTATAAACGTAAGAATTTTTCCACAGACAGTTATAACTTGATAAAAATGTCGGCTGCCTGGGAATTTCCAAAAATGGCTTAGCTTGATACTATCAACAATAATACGACGATTAAGGAGATATGAAAACAAACAAAACAAAACGGAAGATGAATCTTGCAAATTAATCGAATTTCAGTCAAAAGTCGTGTTAAGTCATTTAAAATACAGTTTTGCATGGTCACGATAAAATTATAAACGTAATATGCGGAGATATAAATATAAAAATTTTAAATTTAATATATAAAAGATTCAAAATTTGATCGCTCCTGACTCCCACGTGTCTGTGATATCCAAAGCTTTCAACGAGCCCCTCTTAATAGGATTATTTTAGTGCTATAAAAGGTACAGCATGTATGTAGATAATTGCAAAGATTAAAGTACTAATTGTGAGACAAAAAGATATTTGTTGTTTCTTATAAATAAACATGAAATTTTCCATTTGCCTTTGTCGCCGTTCTGTTGTCGTCGACATCTAGAAGAGCAAAGAGATAATCGCTGCTTGTAACGCAGCGCTGCCGTCCTCCCACTCGCACAAATGATGTAACGGAAAATTTTAAAAATAATATCAGCAACAGAAACCAACCAAATCAGAACGATTCGCTTTTATTAAACATTCGTCATTGGCTTCTGCCTTTGACTAGGCGCTAATCGATGGGACACTTGAGACTACGCCACACTCCTGAAGTGCGCGGGAAAACTCCGAGCACGTCTAGACGAGCGGTCAGTAAAATGTTTTAGTAGCAACTAAAGAGGCCAGTCACCGTTTGTTCCTAGCTTTTAATTAGCCGCCAGTTGTAGGCCCAAAAACAAAATATAATGTCACACAAATGAAATGAAATGACAATGGCCGAGGGTCCAGACTGTGATAAGGAACATCGGCACAGCCGACCAAACCATGATAAGATTTTCGGAATGGCGAAGGCGGCAGAAAAGTCGACGATGCCCGCCTGGCAACGCGAAGTCACCCAGTCGTATGACCGTCCAGCCAGCCAGCCATCTATCCATCCATCCAGCCAGCCAGCCAGCCGGGGATCTCGTCTGGAATCTGCCCCAAACCAGTTGACATCTTTCAGCCAACGCCAACAACAACCGAAAAGTAGTTCATCTGCTCCAGCAGAAAAGCGAATGTGCTTTAAAAAGCTTCTGCTGCCTCTGATTCATTCTCAATTGTTTTTCGTTGGCGAGGCTTTCGCACGTGTCGCGCTTTTCAAGGAAATAAACATCAAATTGGTTTATAATTTGTTTGGAATATTTTACCAATGCCGATCGCGGTCGATCGCTGTTCGCTCCAATGCCATAAACATGTGGAAAACTTTTACCTATTCAAATCTCAAGAGCTCTAACTAAACAATCAATACGGCGTCTTATCAGTATAAAGAAGAACATGTTGACTAGTTATTATGGAAAATCTCAACAATTGAACTATTAATTAATTTTACCATTTAATTAAGTAGGAACGAAATGACACATATTACAAATTTGATGAAATGTTTGAAAAGCAGTAAACTTCAAGGCCAGCGAACCTTTACTTCCGAAGTCAACTGCAAACAATATGTTTATATTTCGAAGATGTGCTTAATTATAACCCACACAAGCTAACATTTTTTAATTGCTAAGAAGATTACTCACATTGCATGTGCCAACAACGCCAGATGACATTGTTGAGTCGAATTTTGTCCTTCCAACGTAGACGAACTCCTTTGAAATGATTCCATTTGGGCGAGGTGAGTTTTTGACTGCAAATACAAAAGTTGTATTTTAAAAACGCATTGGACAATCCTCAGGTAAAAATCAGTTGTCAATATGCAATATGGAAACCCGTTAATTAACAAGGGAAATTGGGGAAATTGCATTGGGCTTTCTCTACATCAATTAAATTCTCCCCACTATCTCTATGTTGATATCTGTCGTTGTGTCAATATTATCAATCTATAATAAACAAATCGATTTGTTTATAAATATTAAAGCAGATTGTGGTCTAAAAATAGAAAGACCTACAACCCCAACCAGCTGTTATCTCTGTAAAATCTGCCTTTATATGCACATCTATATATCATATACATGTACAGTCTTAATCCCGCTTTCCTAATAGGATTTATTATATCGAACTGGATTAAGTAGCATATTGCACCTGACTCAAAAACAATTAATGAATACATATCAGTGAGAATGTCTATAATAAACAACTCAACTTTACTAGATACTCGATATGTTGTCAGTGTTAATTTATTGTTGTTGTTTTTACTATGTCACCTGATGATTCAGTAAGAATTATTAGGCAATCATTAGGTAAATAGCTAACATTTGTCGCCATTCTCGAACAGAACCCTTCATATAGCACTGAAATGCACAATCGAGCACTCGAAAGCAGTAATGCCATGTGGGGGTGGCCCCCTCATTGAAGAACATAGATATAGCTTTATCTAGTGACGTAGCTGTTTACCCATGATTAACTTCCTGTATTGGCCACTTATTGACACAGATCCAGTTTTTCACACTCAGGAATTTGTTTACCTTCTACGAGGGCGATTTGTTTTAATTAAAGATGTATGTACTGATCAAAACATAGCTTGGAAAGCACATAGTCAACCCTATATTGCTTACAAGTCATTAAAAGCTTGTAAGTTTCAAGTTTTTTAATGTTAAAATCTCTGGGTCTATTTGCGCAATATTTTAAAGACGAATAATACCCCACAGCGCAGTTTGTTTAGCTATACCACAATTAGCAAAAATAAAAGAAAACAGACCTGTATAAAAGTCACATATGAATTACTGTAGCTGATAAGACTCTAAAACACAACAATACGTTAAACCGAGTAGAAGATTGGCGGGGCAATATAGGGTTAAAAATAGATCTAACAGACGAACGTCGGTACGATGTTTACTGATGACTAAAGGTCCCAATAAACTAAATAAGGTCTTACCTTATATTAGACTCCAATAAGACTACTGTTTCTAAATAAGAAGTAAAATGAATTAACTATTAAATGAAACTGCTCTTTAATGAATATTTTGTATATATTTAATTTTTAATTCGAAAAATTGAAGATTAATCATTACATTTTAATACATCTACTTTAATATGATATGAACCCTAGTTTCAAAATCAAACATAATTTTATTTATTTTTGTGCTTTCGGCTTTTGTCCTGTCTTGTATTAGTACTCCCTTTTCAAAATCATTTACTAATTAGTTTATTATAAAGTGTAAAGAAATTAAATTTGTTTCAATATGCAGGGTATTTATTTTCCCGCCACATAACAAGTCAGTCGGTTTCCCTTTTCGTACAGGTAAATGTTGCTAGCGACTTCAGAAATGTGCGCTTCGGAATGATTCTGATATCGCTGTGGCAATATTTTGATATTTTTTCGTGTTGATTGCGCTGGCGTTTGCAGAAATGGGAGAAGTACCACCAACCGAAGAGAGGGGCTGTGAAGTGTGGAGGAGGAGGTGGACGGACAAGCGCGATTGAGGCAAAGTTGGGTCCAAAGTAACCCGAGCAGCGACGTCGCGTCGCAACATGTGCCGCGATTATGCGACCGAAGCGGTCCAAGCGTTTGGTTTGCTGGGTTTTCGTTGGCCAGTTTTCGGCGTTATCACGCTCTAAACGCGTGATCAAGCGGGAAACTATATTTCATATTGCTACGGTGTTTGGGGTTTTTATTTTATACGGGTCTGCGACTCACCTGTAGGCCAGATTCATGCACTTGAAGAGTTTGGTGAGGGATGTCTCTATCTCCAAATGGGAGGTCACCATGCTCATGCTGTTCTCGTCTCCCTCCTGGTCCATGGGACTGAAGTTGGCCACCGTCTGGGGCACATACAGCTGCACATCGCGACATGTGTTGGCCGGCTCGCCCGGCTTTCCCAGACCGGGGTCCTCGGGATCGAGCATCTTCACCTCGCCATCGTCCTCGAGGTCGTCCTGCGCCTCCTCGGCCTCGAAGTGCGAGACCATGAACTGGCCGGAGTGTATGGATTCCCGCTCCGCCTTGAGGAGATCGGCCGTGGATTCGGCTGATCCGCCTACCGATCCATATTGCATATGCGGGAAGCTCTGGGGCAGCTGATGCTGCGGCTGCAATTGCTGCTGCTGCTGCTGCAATTGGGGCAGTTGGTTCAGCTGATGCTGCTGGTGGTGGGGAAACATTTGGCTTGTGCGTTGGTATCCCTCGTATTTATTCAGCATCATTTTCACCAGGTGCCGCCGTGTAGATGTCTATGCTAATATTTCACTTTTGAGCTGGACACATTTATTTCGAAGCCGACACGGGGCACATTTAATGGATTTTGAATGTCTCTGGCGAAACTGTGGTAATTAAATGCTGGCCCTTTTTTCGAATAGTTGGGGATTTTCCATCGCTCTGTAAACGGTATCGCGGTTCAAATGAGATTGAGATTGGTATTTCGTGTGTTTAGCACGTTTAATAATAACTTCAGAGATCTGGTATCTTAATTAAATTGCTAACTAAAGCTCTACTTGTACAGAAAATCTTTGATTTGTTTACTTCATCGACACCTGTCCGATTGGCGCTTTTTTCCGGAGCGGATTGGAGCTTCTCTAATGGCAAACACGCCCCGCTTTTGCCGTTATATGCGTCACAAAGCACAATAATAACAATAATCGCGTACACACACGCGCGCAAAAGTGGGTGGCGGCGGGGGGTATGTACGTCAGAGCGAGACGTCAGTAGTGGAAACGTAACTACTAGATCGAAAAACGCACGCGGATCGGAGGGCGAATAATGGAACTTGCAGAAGGCAGCGCAGAACGAGCGGTTTCCAGTCCACAAACGGAACTGATCGAAGAACGAAGCTGCGAGTACGGCAAAACCTGTGCGCCAAAACATTGAACAGCTGACGCGCTTCCCTCTCTCTTTCTCTTTCTCGCTCTCGCTGCTTATCAGCCTGAGAATTATAAGTACCTATACATATGTATGAAGAGATGCCAGCGTTATTCTCCCTCTTCCCTCTCTCTCCCAATCGATTGCATTTGACCTTGCCACCCAGGTGATGCACTTGCACTCCAACGAGCAGCTCTGAGTTTGCACTTTTGACCTCTGTGCTCCTTTTTTCCTATTTTCCCTGCCCACTCACACGTACGCACAGACACGCACACACGCGCGCTTTTCGTTGGGGGCACATCTGCAGCTGCCCCCAAAAGCGAAAAGCTAAAAACCGAGCTGTTCACACGACGAATTCGCAAACGACGACGCACACACGCGCACTAGTAAAGCTGCTACGTAGTTAAATTACAATTTAGCACACATTAACTTAATGCGAGGAGCGAGCCCTCGCCCTCCCACCAGGGTTGTCAAGCGATCGGTGGCTCAGATAAACAGCAGGTACTGCCTAAAAATGGCCGTCATGCAACGCAATTGTGAGTTAAAGTACGGAATGATGAGCAGGTTCAAATCAAACAAAATTGGCAAATAAATGTACCTACATATGTTTTAAATAGTACAGATACATTTTAATTGGCATTTAAATTAGGTATAAATTAAAAAGTAAAGGCCCCAACTGTCCCTCAAATGGAATTGGGATTCCTTACTATCGATAAGAAACCTATCAGCGCCCTCGAAAGTATCGCTCCAACTGTCCATCCCCAATAACAATCATTATCGTTCCAAATGAAACGCAAAAAGGTCCAACTGTTATTTTCTCCAACGTTTTCGGCATTTATATTAACGTAAAGATGGCTCTATAGTTTGCGCGCAAGCAAAAACCAACAGCACCTTGGTGCCCCAAACACAACAAAATGGAAACGTATAAAAAACCATCGTGAGTATTCCTTAAAATCAAACGCTTGCTAATTTCGCAATGTCCCACGCACACTGCCGCACTTTGGCGTTGCAAATTCATTGTTGCTGCACGTGTGTGTGTGTGGGAACGGCTTATATGGATTCTCGTTTAGCACTGTTAACGTGGCAAGTGCAAAATGCAGAAAATCGAAGTCAATGGGGCATGCAACCAGGTAGAGAAATTGGCTGACGCAATCGCCGCTGGAGTTGAGTAATTCTCGTTGCAAGTTGCTAGGGGTAGCAGCACGTGTAAATGTGGAATGATTCACCACAGTGGGGACTACGCCAAGCGGACCCACCCCATAGACGGAGGTCTAAACCTTGTACAGTAATTCTCTTTGTTTACTTCCAACGGAAAGCCCCTGTTGATAGCTTTCGGTGTTATTGTACCCAATAATCTAAGAGTGAAAAGGTATATTATATTTGTTGAAAAATGTATAGCAGTATAAACATTAGTATAGATATTCTTGATAATGATCATCATGCGAGTCGCTATAGTCATGTCTGTTTTTATTAACGATTTAAATGCGCCTTTATCTGCTGTAAATTTTGAAAAATTACATGAAGTCATATTTATTTTTTAATTTTTACTATTAACGTGTATCCCTTAGTTAGGAAACTCGAAAATAGCATTTTTCTTGACTTAAATTCCAATTTGGCCATTTATAAACAATATATTTTTGCTTATTTTCCCTCGTTTTTGCATTACTAATAAATGGGTAAAACGCAAATTAAAATGCAAAGGTTTCCAAAGCACAATTCAAAAATACAAATCATGTGATATTTACTTGTACCTATTTAAAGGAGGTAAAGAAATTGAAATAACACATGAAACCAGTCACAATTTTCTTAAAGCATGTACAGCTTAAGTTTAAATTAGATTTTCACCTTATTCCATGGAAATTGCGCAGACTTGTTGATTAAAGGGGTAGCGATGATTGCTTATCAGCATGACTTGCGATCGATTTGGTTTTGACTTGGGGGTTCATACAGTGCGATCCATGAGGGAACTTTTATAAACCATTGCACCCAATGAACTAATAACAATGTTTTTCTGCAATTTTTAGCGCCACCATGGCACCCTCACAACAACAAGCTTCACTACAAAAACAACCATTCATATTCTTCGGACCGGATTTCACTTTTTCAACAAAACACATATCTTTGACTACTGATTTTGATTCTGAATATGGACACATCATTTCATCAAACAATGGAGAGCCTGCAGTTGCCCAAGGAGCTGTACTGGGACCTCAAGCTGGAGCCACAATCCCCAACATCGGCGTTGAGCTCCGAGCTGTTCTCGCTCACTGACTCGACAGATGCCGAGTGGCTGTATGACGATAACTTTGCAAATGGTCTGTGACACTTGTTGCCCCATTCTAGTGATAGTACTAACGTTCCCTAATTTCAGGCATTACTCTGATTGGCAATGAAGATGCTCTGAGCCTGAATGAGGCGGCTTCTCTCGAGCTGCTCAGCGACGAGGAGTTGGTTGTGGAGATCTTTGACCTGAAGGATGAAGGTAACTTTAATTTAGTCTGTTTATTTTGTTTATCGAAGCTCTTCTAAGTTACACAGATAAAAGTAAATATAAACTAAAAAAAAGATACAGTATGTTTAGGCAGTCCATAAGATAATGCTTAGTTCTGGATGAACTGTAGCATGGTCTTATAAAACCAAGAAAAAACTAAGTCAACCATTTTGACAAATTTTTATGACAAATATGGTCCAACATACCTTGTTGTTTTATATTGGTAATAAAATGTCTATTAAATATATAAATCAATACAAAAAAGATTCCTATAAAACCCTTGTCAACCAAATTGAAATCTTGAATATCAAAGTAAACCAATACTATACGAATGAAGCTAATAGACGAAATCGAAAAAATTTTAAATGCATTTGAACTTTGAACGTCTGCAAATACCTCATATAAATAATTTATGCCAGACAGGTTTCGGTTTCTTAAAAAATAATACAAATCGTTTGTTATAGTTTTGTTTGACATGTATATCAATTGTAGAGTTTATTGTATTCCATTATGTAATATGATCTCTAAAGGAAATACAACAATTCAACCATTATATAATATTTTAGTTTTTTAAATTAGTAACTAGTAAAGTATACAAAAGGAAAAAAAAACCTATAGGAAAATATTTGAATATTTTCGATCAGTCCAGACGATTTTGTGGGCTGATTCATAAAGGGGCACGAACATCAAATGGTTTTGAGCGAAAAGTTCAGACAAGTGAAGTTGAGAAACCGGATTGCGGATTGTTTTGTTTTCGTTAGCGTATTTGCTGATATTTTGGTCAGCTTATACTTACGTATGGAGGTTTTTTGTTGTTTTCACCATTTTTTTTTGTTATTGTTTATCAACGTGGCCCACAAGCCAGCGATGTAATGGCCAATTTCGAGGCAACAACAAAGACGAGAGCTAGGGAGAGCAATGAAATCGGAATCAGTTTTTGATCACGCGTTAACCGAGTGATTGGTTGGACTCTTTCAAAATTCGCTCTTTAGCAATCTCTTTCGACTCTTTTCTGGCGCTCAGCTGGTACTTCAGAGAATTCCATAGATAACAGCTGGTTGTTTGCTATTTCACAGCGGAATTCAAACAAATCTCCGCATGGTTATGGTTCTCTCTTCTCTCGACAGCTTAAATAACTTCAAATTCCTCGTAATATTGGATTGAAGGTTAAACGATGTGGGATCTGGTTTGTTTGATAGTAAACCAGAAACTCGTCCTTCAAAGAGAGGTTCACGAATGTATCAAATGCTGCGATCAATGAACCATTTCACGTTCTTGTGTTAATCATATTTTGATATTTTTAAGCAGGACAGGAAGCTTCTTTGTTTTAAAATTAAATTTTATCCTGAGGACGTGCCCCCCATTTTGGCACTGACATTTTTTTGAGGCTTGGCCAGGTAGATGCTATAAATAAATCTCTACCGGAGATGAGAGCGATTCCTGATTAAACAAACCTTATTGAGCAGTGTTCAATATTGGTACTCTGATTTAAATCTTAAACATATTTAATATACATCAGGTGTCGTTAGCAACAGTCTTAAATATTATATAGGTTACCTTTAGTTCAATGCACATTTCCGAGGAAAAATATTGAATCACTGAGCAGAGGGTAGATCATTAAAACATTATTTTACCTAATAATAAGAACGATCAACTCGATTGCGGTCGTCGGTGAGGGGTTACTGACTGATCATGTACTCATTATAAACAGTTGATAATTCTGTTTAAAACACACATACTTTTAAAATGCATTTGTTTGGAAAACAGAGGGGCAAAAAAAACAGTGGTTAAGTTTTCATTTACAAAAATATTTTTTGTAATCTACGAAAGAGTCCAACATTTATGATGTCACATTTTATTCGATTTTTTGTCCTATTATCTAATACCCAATTTTAAACCAGTTCTTGAAAATATGATGGAGTAAACTGACCAAAACCATCGCTAAACCTTTCGGTTTATCAAAAATATATAGAAATGTAAAGAATAATAAGCATCGTAGACCCTGCTCCGAACAGATATCGTTTAAGTGAAAACGTAATTTTGTTTAACTTTCACTCGACTATGGATCAGTGGAAACTTATCGGCCAACTCTGGACCACTGTGCAGAGTCCGTTGGCTTGGGATCGTACTGGATCGTGCTGTGACCGCTCGCCTGTCTCTGCTGATAGCATCTCGGGCTGGAAATAAACCAACAGATTGATCTTATTGCAGGGCCTCTCAGGGGGCTACGTCGTATCTCTCAGCTCTCCCAGCATTATCGTTCGCTCGTTCTGGGCTGGCAGCTAGTTAGCCAAGCAAAAACCTTTCGCGCTCCGCGATCGGAACTCAGTACAAATCGTTACTCAGACGCGAGCGTTCGGATCGAAACTCGGCTTTGACTTCGATTGCCGCCCCCCGCCTACCACCCAACCGTCTTTCTTCAACAACAGCGACCACAAAACAACACAAAGAAAACTGCCCAAAGCGAACCGAGACAATAACAAATAAGCTGAGAAGTAGCAACCACACAATCACACGTCTTGACGTTTTTGAAACGCTCAAAAGACAAAAAGAGACAGTCGCGAAAATCAAAGCAATATTTTTTTAAATCAGTGCGTATAGCCTATAGGACATTTGTTTAATGGTTTTGATGAAGGAAATCTGGCGTGTCGTCAAGAATAAATCAAAGATTTAAGCCAACGCCCCAGATAAAACTGTGTAAAAAGTTAATTGGCTGACAGACGTGAAGTGAAGGCCTTTTGTGTTGCCACTTAACTTTTGAAAACGGCGGCAAACAAAACGGCTAGAGTTCGCATAAGGCGACCATCGAGTGCAAACTACTATATGTAGCCAACTCCGGAAAAATAGACAAATCCACGAGAACGTCGCGAGCACCTGAAAATTCGAGTGCGAGCACCAAGGACTTTGTTAGCATGATACCACACTGTGGATACCGTTACATGTGGAACCGTGAAATTGTGATAAATTCGCAAAAGTTGGTGAAACGACGCTAAACAGGAGTCCAAGTTGTCCGACCACGCCGACAATTTTGCGGCAGCAGTTGGATCCCACGGACAGAAAAACAAGAACCGAAGGACAGACACACAAACGAAAGCCATAACTCAAATTCCTTCTTCATTAACTAAGAAAAAAAGTCTTCAGATACTTTTTGCCACGAGGGCGAATTGCTTGATCACTTGAGTTGTTTTTTTTGCGTTTTGGCATTGGTCGTGTTTTAGATTCAACTCTAAATTTAAACCGACACTTACCTTTGTTATTCTATTTACTCGGCCTAAGTGCTGGACTTAACGGCTTAGACAGCACGTTCTCCAGCTATTCGATTGTACATTCAAAATTGACTCTGTGATTTTTTACTTTTCTTTTGCAAATATTTTATTATACTTACTTTATATACGAAAATTGTTCATATCATTATTTAAAAAAGCGCATCTCGTTAACATAGCAATTGTACCTTTTTGTCAAGAATTAGATTACTTTTCATTATTTGATATTTTAGTTTTGTGTTTCGTGACATTTTTTATTTAGATTAGGTTAAGTCAAAGTTTTCGACATTTTTTCGACCTTTTACTGCCTTTATTTTTATTCGATTGAAACTTAAACGACAATTTCCCTTACATTTGACAATTATAACGATTCACTGCTGCCGCAAACATGAGCACATATATATTTATGCAAGCCTATGGTTAGTATTCAGCTGTTATGATATTATTAATATCATTCAAAAACATATCATTAAAATTGGGTTGTTCTTCTGTCTCTGTCTCACTTTAGATGATTTTCAGGTCAAGCCGGTTTATCATTAATTGCTTCGTACTTCTTTCATTTTTTACTGATCGTATTCAGTTCAATATTTATAAAATTCATTTGCATATAATGACTGGACTGGGGCTGGTGTTACTGGCGTTTATTCATTTTTGGAGAGCGATTGGCACTCATCTGAAAACTTATTTTAACCAAAAAATATTTAACATTGTTAAATAAAATAAACTTTGCCAATATAGTCTAACATTTGTATTTTTTATATAGAATTTTAACCTAATTAAATGCAGTGAGAAAAGCCCTTTTAATTTAACATCAATATTCAATGGGAATTTTACATTAGTTTCCTTGTTATTCCCAGCAATTTATATAGTATTGTTTTTCAAGACAATTCAATCTTACTTAAACTGCACATTTATTTGTCTATAACGGCGTTTGTGCGTCAAGGTTTTTGCTAATCATGTTCTCATTAAATTTAAATATATATATATTTATTTTTTCTTTACGATTGCGCGGACTGGTGATTTGTCTATGTAGTTGCCTCCGTCCTTTTATTTGATAATTGTAATGACAACATTGTTTGCTAGACTTAATCGGTCTGTTTCTAAGCTCTATGAAATTGAATTAGGGTTAGGACTTAGCTTAGTTTCTGTTCAATCTAGAAAAAAATTGCATTTATAAATATATATAATAAGTGGAAAGGTCGCAAAAACAAGCCCAAGCAATTATTTTACTTTGCAATATAAATGATTCCGTTTTAAATTCACTATTGAAAAAGTATAAATATTATTTCAAGGCCTTTTCGACACTACTTCAAAATTATAAATTTGTTAGGCATAATCAATTAATATGTTGTTGTTTTATAAATGCATTGAAAATCCGTGCTTTTGCCCACCCTTTCCTTGGGCTATTGTTACGCAAAACGGCAAATTACACATTAATATTCTAATAAACGAGGGCTAGGCATGGTAACAGCAACACTTTAGAGTCGCATTTTTATGTAAATCAATTAACGCAGTTACAGTTGCTCTGCTTTCAACGTATTCAAGCGCAGCTGTTCGCGAGGAGATTGCTATATAAATGGACAGACTGATCAGATCGATCGAGGCGAAACGTGTTATGATAATGTAGAAGCGATCTTGGGAGAGGTGAATGTTAGACTGGCCCAGCCCAAGGTGTCGCTGGGGCAGCTTTTACAAATCAAACAGGTGTTGCAACAATGCCTTTGTAAGGTTGCACTCTCATCGGATCTCTCCGCGAAGGAAAACTTTGGTCTCACTCTTATTTGTCAGTCCATTTTTATCAAATAATCAATGCGATGTCGTCGAACTTTGTTCAATATAAGTCGTCTCTGTCGCTCTCCAATAAAAGCGAATTGAAAACAACAGCAAATCGAACGTATATTGAGGAAAATATGCCACAATCAATATGTAAATGTTTACTAGAGTTCTGAACGAGATGCGACCATTTGTTGCGTCCTTCACTTCAATGGAAATAAGTTTCAATTGAAAGTGGAAAAATATAGAAAACAACAATTCGCTTTGACAGAACGGTGTAAGGCGTAGATGTAGGTATTGAAGTCGGAAAAAAATAGACGGGAAGTGATAAAATAAGATTTAAAAGTATGATTAAAAATGTATTTTAAATTAACTTATTCAACTGATATCCATAAATTTAATCCATATTAAAATATCATAAAAGGGCGGTAAAAATATGTATTAACATAATAGAAATTGATTTATTCAGGATTCGAGACACTCTAATTTTAAAACTAAAATTCCAGATTTTACATTAAGAAACTTTTTTTCTTACTTTTTTTAGAATGTCTCCTGGACCAAAAGGCATCCCTGAACTGCATTGATTACGAAAGGAACAGCTATCAACCCATCATTGATGCTGTTAGCCAGCCGATAATACCCACAAACAAAGTACAATTCGATGCATCTTCAGTCGCTGCCTCACTCGTTTCTGCCGCCAATTACCATCTCGGCGATCCCCCATCCCTTATTCTGCAGCAGTTGACGCCGCCGCAGTCTCCGCCTCAATTCGATGCTTACAAACAGCCTGTTGAATCGCCCCAGCCCGAGGCCATCAAGGCCGAGCAGAAGGTGGTAAGTCATAAAACACATGTGACTTCGGAGAAATATCTTAATAAATCAAACTTTAATATTACAGCAATGCTATACTCCTGATGCTACAAATGCGGCGGCCGCCTCCACGCCCTTCAACTTTAATAACTGGGTGGGTGGAAGCGAAATTGCCCGGGAGAACCAACTGGTCGATGATATCGTCAACATGCGTGCCAAGGAGCTTGAGCTGACCACAAACTGGCAGCAATTCAACGACGACTGCGAATCTCAGGCCTCTTCCTCGCTGGACAGCAGAAGCACCGGTAGCGGAGTGTGCGGCAGCATTGCCGATGCGGACGAGGAGTGGCTTCCAGAGGCCATCAGCAGCTGCGCTTCCTCGCCAGCTCACTTGCCCGCGGATGATCAGTCGGTGGCAAAGACGAAAAAGCGTACTCGCACCTACGGACGCGGTGTGGAGGATCGTAAAATCCGGAAAAAGGAGCAGAACAAAAACGCGGCCACACGCTATCGCCAGAAGAAGAAGATCGAAATGGAGAATGTTCTGGGCGAGGAGCACGTGCTGTCCCAGGAGAACGATGAGCTTCGCCGCACCCTGAAGGAACGTCGCAGCGAGATGCGCTATCTTCGACAGTTGATACGCGAGTTCTACCAGGAACGCAAGCGCTAGTCGTTATCTTGTTCCATCTAAGTTTCAATGTCGTTTGCAAAGTTATTGTTATAGTTAAACCCCAAAGCTCTCCCATATTCCCACACAATACTTCTATGTAACCCACAACAACAACAATCACCAGCCTACCCAAAGCTCCAAGAAACAACCGAGTACAGCAGCCTGTCTTGGCCCTCATTTTTTGGCACTAATGACGAGTCTTCGCACTCCGAATTACCCCATGCCAGTGATGGCCAATGGCAAGTTAATATCTTAGGCAAAACAGGCCAGTATGCCAATTTTAAAGTGGCAACAGAATTTGCATTGTATAAAAAAAACTTAATTGAAAACCTTTTTGAGTTGTATTTTTGCGAATTACCCTGTGATGCGGCTGCTGTACTACGATTTTATTTTTGGACATTGGTAAGCATCTTGACAAATGTAAAAGTTCTCTTTTAATGATTTTTTAACAAACATATAATTAAATATACAGAATATTATTCAACATTTATCAGCAATAAATCAAAAGGGTTTTCAAAAGAAAATTGATTAACAATGAAATGATATTTTATTTGGTGTTGCTCATGAACATGATTTTGTGGGAAAGGAAGAGGCTAGCTAAAAGCTAACTTAATTTGCTGGAATATATCTTTGGAACAGTTCGCTATAATAGGATTAATGGTGGAACAAACACAAATACTATTTCAGTAAAAGTTAAGCATATAAATTCAAATTTTTTAAGTTTCGTTTTCAGAGTTTCATTACTGTATTCTTTAACTTTTATGGTTTTATCTGTCCTACCTTCCTTGAGATTTTGCCCACATTTTTTTCCTGTCTATACTATCATAGAAACGGTAGAAACAGGACTTAATTACGGCATTATTTTTTGCTTTTACATTTTTGAGTCTTAAGCTTACAGTAAAGTCTTCTTCCCTTGTATTCCTAATTGAAAACTTTCCTTAATTAATTTGCAATCAACAAGTTTGTAAAAGCCAATCCACTTCTCCGTCCTTCTGGATTGCAGAAAGGTACTCCAACATGTGGGATGTCAGGAAAAGCTACTGCACTCCACCATGCGGACGTCCTGGATAATCGGATTATGATTATGACTATGAATATGAGGCGGTTATTATCGCCAAGTTGCGCGTCCCACGTACTTGACAAACTGCATTTAAATTGAATCAGAGAATGCCAATTAGTGGGGAAATCGCAAAAACAAAGAAAATAGTCACAGATGGAGATTGATATAGTCCAAAATGTTTCACCGGGGGCCAGGAGCAGCGAAGTGCGACACCAAAACAATCCCTCACTGCTGAGATTTAGATTGAGATTGGGGTTGGGATATGGGAATCGGCATGGGTTGCTCTGGGATTTTCTCGCCAGGACATTTTGAGTGATGAGCCGGCGACGTGAGCCATACAACTGACTTGGCTTCAGTGGCTGGCCGCTTATTCTTTGGGTTTCACTACTAAACTAAATTTTCCACATCGTTAATTTATATTAATATGATTTCTGTGTCAACGGTCGATGCGCTTGCCGTCTAGAGCTTCCAGCTCCGATGTCGCCTATGTTGACTCCCGCCGTGTATGACAAGGCAGCCACGACGCCCATGGAGGTCGCCGGCGCAATATTTATCTAAATTGTTATTTTTCACACTCACGCAGTTCAATGAATTCGTGAAAATTACGTTTGGGACTTTGTGTTTGCTCGTCGCCAAAGCCATCCCCATATCCCCGTCCATCCTCGTCGGCGGGCTTCGATTCTTCAGCCGGAGTCCCCGAGCCGAGTGACTCTTTAAGCGCTTGGTTAAGTATATTGGCATAAAATTCAATTTTCCTCCTTTGTGTTAATCCTGTTATTAGCTGCCGTCCTGCTACAGAATCCTTTTCATGCGCTCCCCTTGAAATGCCAACACAGCTCAGATGAAGCGCCGCAGTTGAGATGGTGAAAAATTTGAGTCTGGTGGGTGGGACAATCCGGTTTTTTTTTATGAATGCTGATCCTTCAGCTTTTGCTATGCTCGAAAAATGATGAACTAACCCCGTTGTTATTTGGTTTTCTATTTAAAGAGGATTGGTTTCAATTTAATTATTGGTTTAGCGGGCCAATTTTTATTTCTATTGATGACTTGAATCTCCTGGTTCTTAAAAAGCAACATGTGCATTAAGGACAAAAATAAATGTATGGAATAGGAATAGCTTAAGTATAGTATTTTCAAGGCTACAAATCGGTTCATTTTGTATTATTAATATAGTTCTGAGAGTATGAAATCCGCTGCGACTTTATTTATTCGTATCCATTTCATTTTAGAGCACACATCTGCATTTGCACAAACCCATTTTGGGAATGTAAAATAATACTGCTCGCCGCCACCAATTCCCAGAGAAGTCGAGAAACTAGTGGAGAAAGAAATCAACGTCATCGTTAAATTTAATTAGGCATCAAATGACTGAACAGCCGAGCTAAATCAAAACCAAATGGCCTGAAAGTGACCCAAGTGCAGGCGAAATTCAAGCGCCTGGCTCAAAGGGCGGTCGCAACACTTTAAAACACAATTAAAAGTCAAAACGTCATCGTAAATGGAAGCCAGTGGGCAACCCTCTAAGGACCGAAGTGTCGCCAATGAGGCGCCATGGAAAAAGCCCTGATGCGGAGGGGGGGTGGACAACATGACACTCGCTTTACATAACATTTAACAAAATTATAATGAGGCATAGAATGAATGCTTATCGGCTGGGGGGATTGAGTTTATCCTTTGGCGAATGCTAATGAGATTATGTGAGAAATACATTTTATTTGTTTTAAAGGCACCACAGGATCTCATGTGGTTTATCTAATTGCTATCGGTGCGAGTCATAAGTGAGTCATCCTCACAAGATAACCGCATTAGGTGTCCATTAGAATAAATTCAATTACAGCTACACATAAGTAAAACAGAGGAAAAACTACATACATATAAGAAAAATGTCAGAATATAGTTGATTATATAATTACCACACAACACATAAATACCAAAGTGGTTTATCTCGGCGTGGGACAAAAGCTTTCTTTAGATGTTCATAATTACAGAGCGGTGAAATGGAGGCAGTCGAAAGAAAGCATTTTTTTCTGATTCTGGATTCAATTTTATTAGAGAAATTTCATTTGGCTCTTTATACATAGTATGTTTTCTTCTTTTGGTAACAACCTACATTACAAGCTAATTTTATGAGCCAATCCATTTGTTTGATTTTCGTTTTCCCAATTTTTGTGTGGCCTTATCTAATCGCATTGAGTGCGAAAAAGTTACTGTACCTCCTTATCGCAACCCGCACACACATTCATGCTTACCCAATTTTCACACATTTTCTATTTTCATTTTCACCTTTTAGCTTACGGCCATAAAAATAAAGTTAAATAATTTGTGAGGCCCAAGTCAAGCGGGTTGTGATGCGGTCAAAATGCGGGCCATTTCAATTCAATTGTATTACTTATGTATTGTAAACTAAACTCTACGAAACAAAGAGGGTTGCAATGCAAGTGGGCAATATTCAGCTAAGTGTTAACGTCGTACACATTTTAAATGGTTGTTTTCAATTTGCAGATAGGAATACATAGTTGGTTGGTTTTAAATCTGCCAATAAGCTTTAAACAGAATTTCAAAAGCAATAATGCAACGATTTTCCATCACTTTACTTAACTGCTCTTCTGTCTCTTCACAACTTGTCACTAGTGCTGCCAGCAGATGACAACAAAGACATCAATAAATATGTAAATACATATTTTTTGGAGACAAATAACTATCTAAAAATTTAAAAAAATTTAATTATAGTCCCTAAGTCAAATTATTATTAAAGATGTATTACATTTGTCCAGTTGTCCTTTGGATTGATATCCAAATACAAATTATTATAAAATTATTATATAAAACAAACATCTTTAATACGGTCTTTTTATCAATGTTAACTTAAACTCCTTAACATATTTTTAAAAACAAGATGATGTATTTTTTGAGGTTTGACATTATTTCCGGCAAAGGATAGATCTGTCATTAAGTAAAGGACAAAACGGCAGCACTGTTTGTCACAGACAAAATCAAATGCAATTTCACGGCTATTTGAATGGGACAAAACAAAAAACATTCTCCACTTTTCCAATAATGAAATAAATGAGCACAATTTTCAATTTGCCACGCAGATGAGCCACAAAACAAAGTTGAGCGGGAGCCATGGGCATTTGCAACAGAAAGAGGCTGCGTTGCATGAACAAATTGCAACGTGGCTGGGCTTTAAACCAAGTGCATACAGTTCGAAATTGTGGAGTGCGATGGGGTTGTGAAAGTACGCCATGAAGTAGGCAGCATGCGCAACAATTAGCGGTATTTCGAGTCTTCACCCCTCGTCATATCTTTCACATTTACACGTAGCTCCCAGTGCCCCAGAGTACGTGACATTTTGGCAATGGCCGTTGCTAATTTTCAAGAGGTAAAAGTTGAAAAGGAGACAAACGGGATATACACATGAGTTTGTACACTCAAAACTCGGGGTATTTTTATCACCCTTACAAATATAATAAAAATTAAATAAAGCCAAGACTGAGCATTTGAAAATATTTTTTTTAATAAAATAATACATAATTACATATACAAGGTTGTAATTACAATTTAATGCTCTAGTCAGACTGATTGCTAACTTTAAATTACAGTTAGTATTTTATTTTTTTACAGATTTTTGGAACACCCTGGATTTAATACAAATTGCTTTTTAATGATGCCAGAATTTCCCTTTTCCCTCTGTGTACAGTTAGCAAGAATCTTGTCAGGCAATTGAAAGAGTTCGGGACGGCACTTGAAATTCCCCTCCTTTTTCCGAGGAAGCTCCACAAATGTACATTTAATTAGCCAACAGCGAACCATTTCAGTTATCCCCTTTCTCCGATGCACGATTTGTTTTGCCAACTGAGCATTTGAAAAGGCTTCAAAAACAAAAAAAAGGCAAACTGTCCCCAGTCCTCCCTGCACCATCATCCTGCAGATGAGTAAACAAACAATGAATAAAACTCGCGGCACTTGAATCCTTAGGAAAATCAAAAACAATTAAAGTTTGTTCAAGAAAAACAACAAACAAAACTCATCAGCATGCCTGACACACACACACACACATGTACACTCCCATTGCACGGTCATGTGTGTAAACATGATATATTTTCCACCCACCGACCCACTTACCACACACACACACACATAGTCACCGCTATGAACAGATAACGTTGCCTACTTTTGCGCGCTATTCGCCAACGCAAACAACTTTCTGCGTGACGTCGTTCGACGTTTGCTTCTCCGAACTTTCCCATACCCTTCCCATACTCTTCCCAACCCCCCCTCACTGTGTTCTCCTTCGCCAATCCACCGATAAATAAATTTGAACATTTGGTGTAAATGTAAATAGATTGTTCTCCCCTTACACCACTATAAGCGTACGAAGTGGCGTACTCAGGAATTTGAAAGTGGAAAAGGGGGCTTCTTAAAAGAAAATTTAATTTTTCTTTTTAAAATAATATTTTTATT